GCAATTCCCAGGGAGAATGAGCTGTTGCTTGTCTTGTCATTTGGAACCTACACTGAATTTACTCCTTCTTTAGACTGGGTTTTTAAATGTTTTGTTGGGGGAAAGGTGTCACATTCCATCTTCCAGAAATGGAGGACTTGCAAGGTGGAACAGGATGATGGAATGTGGAGGACAAAGTAAACAGGCTGCCATGCGGCCCAGGCAAATGTGGGGCAGTCAGGAATTGAGGTTGTGACTCTGCTTTTGTCTTCAGCGCCTCGCCAACTCCAAAGCCCACACCTCCAGGTTCATCAGTGCCAATCTCCCATGCAACAAATTCAAGAATCGTCTTGTCAACATCATGCCATATGAGACAACACGGGTCTGCCTTCAGCCCATCCGAGGAGTGGAGGGATCAGACTACATCAATGCCAGCTTTATCGATGGCTACAGGTAAGCAGCACTTTGCTGCCTCCCATCACTGTCAGGGTGTGAACTTAGCAGACTGATTTTTGTGTGTGGTTCTGAGGATGTGGAAGGACTAAGGGATGGACTAGGTCATACCAGTGGTGGTCTGTTGTTCTGTCACTTATTTAAGTAGCATACAGCTTGCCCTAGCACTTCTATTTTCCTGTTTTTCAGCCTTTGTATGTGTGCTGCGAAAGTTTTGTTCAAGTCTTGATCCATGACTCAGGTTTGTGCTCTATTTCAGGCAACAGAAGGCGTACATTGCTACTCAAGGGCCCCTGGCAGAGACCACTGAAGATTTCTGGCGGATGCTATGGGAGAACAACTCCACCATTGTTGTGATGTTGACTAAGCTTCGTGAGATGGGGCGGGTGAGTGTGCTCTAAAGGAGAAAGTAAGAGGGAGAAGCATGCGGCACTAGGGCTAACAGAGATATTTATTTTCCCCTGACAGGAAAAGTGCCATCAGTACTGGCCAGCAGAGCGTTCTGCTCGGTACCAGTACTTTGTAGTAGATCCTATGGCTGAATACAACATGCCTCAGTACATCCTACGAGAATTCAAGGTCACTGATGCCAGGGTAAGTGCTGTACAATGTGCAGTCTGCACTTGCAAGGGTAATAGCAAGAAAGGGGTAGGCTGGAGTGGTTCAAACATATGCAGGAGGAGACTAGAGTTAAGGATAGTATGGTTTGGTTGAGGTTGGACTTGATGATCTTGAAGGTCCTTTTTTAACCTGAGCAGTTCCGTGATTCTGTATGGCTTATAGAAAGCAAAGCAGTTTGGCTTGGCCCCTATAAGACTGAGGTGTAAATGCTTCTGGGCTTATCATCAGTGGAGGAGAGATTAGTTGTGATGAGAAACACAATACCCAACCACAGATAAATTGTACTTAAAAATTGAATGTAGTTTTCTAACCTCTGCTCACTAATCACAGTAGTCAGTCACTGTCAGAAATTTGTGTTTTCACTTTCAGCTTATTTGAAACAAATGCAGAAAATACTGTCTCCTCAAACAGCTAATAACAACACAGGCTTGCAGAGGATATTCTTTGCCCTACAGAAAATGTATGCTTCTCTCCTGGTTTCAAGAGGAGCTACGGTTACAACATTCAAAGGGCACATTCACTCAATTTTATATTCAATGTCATATTTCTCTTCCGAGGGAACATTTCAGAACCTTCTGAGACTTGTTTAGTAAACGTAACCCTCGCTCTCAAAGCAGCTTCCTTTGCTATTGAGGTTGTCAGAATTGTAGAACCTGATAATTCTATTTGCAAGGTTGAGAAGGAGGATGCTTTGTCAGTCGTGGTAGAACAAGATTTATCTTCCTGTCAGCTGTAATTCTGACACTATGGCAACTCTTCCTGAAGATTGATAGAGAGGCCATCACCTCACCTTGAATGTTCCTTTGCTGAAGACTCCATCTGTGCAGTCATTGCAGTGGTCGGAGCTTTTAGGACACCTGCCAGGAGTATAGATCTGCACTGACAAGCCAACTCCAAAAATGTCAAGTGCAAGATGAGCAGCTTCATCATTATATATTAATTTCAACACTAAGTTGGTTTGACTTTTTGTGTCCCCTAATGAACTACCAGCAAAACATGTAAGGTGCATGAGGGGAAGGTTGTCTTTTGTATTTCGTAACACAAATACAGCATGTTTTACCTGTTGTTGTTTTTTTCCCCAGGACGGTCAGTCAAGAACTGTTCGTCAGTTCCAGTTCACTGACTGGCCAGAACAAGGAGTGCCAAAATCAGGGGAAGGTTTTATCGATTTCATTGGACAGGTACATAAGACCAAGGAACAGTTTGGCCAGGATGGCCCCATCTCTGTGCACTGCAGGTAGGCATGTATGAATAGAAACATATAATTAATTTGAGGATGCAAAAGAGCAGAAGGAACTAAAATGCTGCAGATTTCTTCCTCCTTTCCCACTCCATCTTTGCAGGCAGATTTTTGAGGTGGCCAAAGATTTTACTTTTGCCAACCCTTCAGTGTTTTCTAACCATATGAGAGAATGAAATGCTGATGCTCTGCAGGACAGGGGAATCAGTGTTAATCAGTATTTTATTGCAGAAAAATTTTAAGTATTTTATTTCTAGTATTAGCCCATATCTAACACTGGTACTCTGGCTTACTGATAGCACGAATTACACTTTCTTCCCCATGGGCAAAAAAAAGAAAATTATTTAATATGAAAAGCCTAATGTTACATATTAATAATAATTTTCATACTGAATGCTTTTTTACAGCTACCCAAAGCTGCTGCTGTTGTTTTATTTCTGTCAGTCTCTCAAACGCTTTGATGCTGTCCTCTTGGAGGACTGACTGAGGCTTTCCACTTCTAATATGTTTATGTTCATAAGGCATAGCCTTACCACCCTTATATACCCTATCATAACCTCAGCATTCGCAGTCCTGCCCCCAGCAGGGGCTTGGAACCAGGTGGTCTACAAGGTTCCTTCCAACTCAAGCCATTCAATGACACAGGAACATGTCAGTATGTTACAACGTGATTGTAACATATCATTTTGTTCTTTTCCTCTCAGTGCTGGGGTGGGCAGGACTGGAGTGTTTATCACACTGAGTATCGTCCTGGAAAGAATGCGTTATGAGGGTGTTGTAGATATTTTCCAGACAGTGAAGATGCTGCGAACACAACGACCTGCTATGGTGCAAACAGAGGTAAGGTGGAAAAACGGCAAACCCTTTCTCTGTCTCAGCTTAGCAGACCTTTGCAGAGCAATCCCTCAGCTGAGGGGAGGAGACTTTTTGTCTTTCTAATCACATGCAGACACTTAACTGAAGAGTAAGCAAGTCCAGGCTGTACTCCTGACTTTACGTATACTAAGTTTAAAAATAAAAAAGTCAACAATAGGCTTTATTTCATAAAATTTCCTGAAGTTTTATCCTAGTCTGCCAGCTTTGATTCTCATCTCATTCTGCTTCTGAAGTAAGGGGCACTCACGTGCCCCTAATCACAACCCACTTTAGCTGCAGGGACAGGAGGGTTGGTGACAGGATGGCTGCTATGTATGAGATGCACAAGCAATAAAGGGATTTCCCTTCCCTGTAGTTCACCACTGTTTGAGAATAAACACGTCTGCGTGTGGTTGCTGCCCAGGTACATGCCAGCTGCTAAGCAGGGCAGGTATCCTGAATTCTTTTAATCTCTGAAGCTGCAGCACTGCTTCTCTTTTTCATTTGCAGGATGAATACCAGTTCTGTTACCAGGCAGCTTTGGAATATCTGGGAAGTTTCGATCACTATGCAACATAAAAAGCCATCTGTTGTGCAGACTCTATCAACCACTTAAGTCCTGGAAGGCCTCTTTTGACCCAGGAGGAGCGCTTGAACTTACAAAACTGAATCAGAAGAAGTACCTTTTCATCCAGACAATGCGTTGGGGAGCAGGGGGAAGGATTGAAAGGAACACCCCTTCAGGAACTCCATGTTGTAGCCTGGACCGTGAAGAGGCAGCTCAGGAGGTTGCTGATGGACTACTTTAAGTGGTGAACTGCTCTTGTTACCTCAAGTGGTGTTCGCTGTGGAGGATGTATGGACATCATCAAAGAGATCCAAAAGCTAAAACACACCTTGCAAAACGTTACCGCTGGAGAAGGGAAGGAAACCGACTTTGGTTACATCATTAGAGTTCAGTTTATTTACTAATATAGTTGGCAGTCTTTAAAGGAAGTCACTTGCAGAATTGAAGGTGTTCTGTAAAAGTTAAGGAACTGAATCTCAACATGTAGGCAAACGTAGGGTCAGGAGTTCTTATAGCTGGAGTCTTAATAACCTCAGTATCAACAGTGGGATGATTCTGGGCTTGCAGGCACCTTGCAAACAGCATTCACTGTGTGCCCCTGCCATGCGAGAGGTTTTATAGCTCACGCTTTGAATACTTAGAACATTCCTCATTTCTTCTAATTCCAAAATTTATTTTTTAGGATATTTAAAATTAGAGAGAGAGAGAGAGAGAGGAAAACCCAGATCTGGCCATGGCATGGCCCCCTCCCCTTGACACAGTACACAGGCGGAGGTGGCAGCTCTGCTGGGCTGCGTTCACTTCCCTTTTCAGCACATCTAGCTCCAGGGAGGCACTGAGCAGGCAGTGGTGGGACACCCAAGACAGAAAGGCAGCCCCTTTCCCATTCTCTTTGCACATTCACACAACCCCACTTCTGCTGCAAGCAGCTGAGCCACCTCACTGTTCCTGCCACAGAAGGCCAGAAGCATCTCTCTGAAAGGAGCCAGAGAAGCACCCTTAGGACACTTACTTTCTATAGCCAACTGCTTTTTGCTGCCAAACCTTCACCTCTGGATGCAGTGGCTCTCCGGGAGCAATGCAGAGATTGCCTCAGGACTGTCTCCGTACCACTTCACACCAAGCCCGTGGGCACAGCTACGAACAAGCCCTAGCTGTATAAATAACTGGGAAAGATCAAGTAAGATGCATTCAATGGCATATACTGTGAGTGGCTTTCTTTAAAGTATCGATGTAACTGTAACAAGTGACATTACTTTTTTTTTTAAATAGTGTATTTTTTCCTTTTTTTTTTTTTAAAGACAAAGAATATCAGTCAATGAATTTAAAAGAAAAAAATTGCTTATTTGTTCATATTATGTTCAAAGACAGTCTATTTTTTCACTGTAGAAATGTTACGTGTAATGGCTGTGATATATAAAAATGCAGTGCAAATTGCTACTTCTACATATTGCTTTTCTACCATTTAAAAGGTTTAACTTGCTCATGTAAGAACAAAATGTCCTTTCTGGATTATTTTTTTGTTTGTTTTGTTTAAAATCTCAGACATATCACGTGTCTTCAGAAGTGTGTGAGATCAGCAGGCAGGCCCAGACCTGGTGGCAGTGCCAACCTCCTCCCCTTCAGCTGTGGCCGTGCTGCTCCATCCTACCAGGGCCAGGGGTGAACTGGGAGATTAAAAAAATGCCAGTGTCTTAGGACTGAAGACAAAAATACAGCAGCTTCAGAGCCACAGCACATGTGGGCAAGCACACAGCTTTTAAACATCAGCAGTGTAATGGAGGTAAGAGCCTAACTCTGTCCATGCACTGGTGTGAAGTTATGATAAGTGTAACAGGGGTACAGAACAAGGAATTTCCTTACAGAAGTGCACAGAGGACAGCATGTGTTGGAAAAGATGCACTGCCCAGGACACTGCTTGCCTGTGGCTTTTTTATTTTTCTAGAAGGGGTAATTATTGTCATCCAGTGCTACCCAGAAAACCCCACAACAATCCATTTCCTGCCTTTAAATGAAAAAAAAAAACAAAAAAAAACAAAAGGCTTCTTCAAGATTTTACTTCTTATTTGTGTGAAAGTTGCCCAAATTTCTAAGTATGTTGCAGCAAAATCTTACTGGAAGAGTTGGGGTGGGGTGGGGGAAGGTTTTTTTTCTTTGTATGAGAGCAAAGTGCTGTTGCTTTCACACTGTTATTTCAAACTGAAACATTAAGTGGTTTTCATACCACAGTGTATGTAGATATATTGACTTTGTATTAAAGGAAGATTGTCTGAAATGCTGACTGCACCTGTTTGTTGTTAGGAGCGGGCAATGAATGAAGGAGTTGCTCTGTGTAATGCAGCCGCTGCTGGCATATGCAGACAGGTACCAGGTTGCTCTTCCTCTGGTGTGCTTGAGATCTTTCTAAAAACAGACCACTGTTACAAGCCAAACGTGCAGCTGCAAGGAAACAACCTAATTTGGAGAGCATTTAGCAAAACAGCTGCAGTGACACTGGCACATACGTACCATTAGTTTGGGTATCATCATAGAATGGGTTGGAGCAAGGGACCTTTAGGATGGCCCACTTCCAGTCCCTGCAATGGGCAGGGACACCTCCCACCAGACCAGGCTGGTATTTTTCAGGGAAGAATTACACTTACTTTCTCAGAGTGGAAGGTCATAATGGAAGCATGTAGATGAGGCAGATGGAGGTTTCCCTCATTACTGCCAGAGGTTCCCATGGCTGCAGTGAGGGGAATAGTCGAGGAAGAGGCAGCAGGACACAGCTCCTGCACCATCATGGTCAGTGATCACACTTCTATTACCTGCAACACAATAACACAGCAACACTGAAGCATGTAGCTTAGATACATTTAAAATTCTAACATGAGCCATTCAAAACACTAAGTCCATCTGAGCCAGATGTGCAGCTATGAACCAAACCACAGTCCTGTCCTAGGTCTCCCTGACAGTGTACTCAGTCCAGCATGAGCACTGTACTTCTTCCATGTTAAGACAGACAGATAGGTGCTAAGCAGGAAAGCACCGCTGAGAGATGGGAGCAGTGGGCCAATGAGTGTTTCTGCATCAGGTTTCCCCACTCTTGCCTTTATGGATGTGCAGTACCAACACCAGTCTTCCCTACCAGAGCAGCAACATTAAGTAGCATTTTTGCAACCACTTAAAGGGAAAAGAAAAAAAAAAAGCAAAATATGAATTAACAGAACTGTGGGAGTTGTGAATTCAGGGAATTACATCACCTTCAGAATGCTGTTACTCCACATGATGGAGCAGGTAAAGATTTGAACAACATCAAAGTGATAGCACAGGAATAAGGAGAAGAAAAATAATTATCTCCCTGTTTATAATCACGTCTTGTGTATATGGCTACCTGCAGGTGGGTACATAAATAGTAAAGATTTTTTTTTTATTCAATTTCTTGGACTCAAGGGTCTTTTAAAGCACTGAACTCTACATATCTGCAATACTACACAGCACAGGTACCTTTCATAAGCCTTGCCTCAGTCTGTGTGTTGGCTTTGAATATCTCTTATTCTATCATTGAAAATTAGAAAGGAAAAACTGATTTTCCTTTTGAGCGCTGTTCATCAGCTTCTGTACCTCTGTCGTGCGCCCACCTTATCTCCTGCACTCTCAGCAATGCCATTCTCATATCTGTGATGCTGAATGTTCTCATCACTACTCTCCAGTCTCTTCAGTTTTGTTCTGCCCTTTCTTTGAGCTGTGCCACTTATCCCCCATGTTGAGCTGCAAACCCCTCGCTGAACAGAACTAAATGCCACATGGAGCATAGAGAATGAGTGACAAAGAGAATTGGAACAGCAGCTGAGAACTAAGTAAATCTCCTCCCTCCCCTGAAATGAAAAAAATAAATACAGTAGAAGGGCAGATAGAGAAGCAAATCCAAAATAAAATCTCAGAATGAGACTTAGAACAGTCAGGCTTACAGAAGCTGCAGCAGTCCAGTAATGCTGACTGCAGCAGGGGTGACAGCCCACAGTCCTTCAGCAGCTCCTCTTCTGGCAGATCAAGGCAGATCAAGACACAAGTGTTATTTTGCTAGGAAGAAGAGAATTAAAGTCTTTGCTTTCTGATTTCCATTACATCAGTCCTTGCAAAACTTAAAATGCAGCAGAAGAAATTCGTGGTGTGATTGAGCATAAGTCATCACAGGTTGCAGGATGCCACGGTACAGCTCCACGGTGCCCAGCCATGCTGTGAGGAGTGCATGGAGTGGGGCCTCTTGTTCTCACAGGGTTCTGCATTCAGGCAGTGCCTGTCTGAGGCCTGGCATGCAGTCAGTTGGCTTAATTAAAGCCTATGTGACAGCCCATGAACGCCCATTTTCAGCCAGGCAATTCCTTGTTTCTTATTGATTCACAGATTCTTTTTTAAAGTCTCCCTCTTCTTTTTCTTTAATGTAAGTACTGACAGGTGGCTTTGACAGCATGTTTATTAGCTGTGCTGTACATGCTGGAAGAAATAAATCATTGCAGGTTGTATTTTTACAGAAAAGGACTGTCAGCAAGGCTCTAGGTCTGCACTGTTACTGCTGCAAAGGGCATCTCCCTCAGTCCCCCAAGTTCTCATTTGCACCACACCGGGCAATACCACCTCATGCATCGCATCAAGCTTCATCTGCAAGGGCCTGGCTGGCTGGACTAATTTGCAAAAGCCCCTCTGCCTCTGCACAACCCTAAACCAAGAGCCCCCTTGGTCCCCTGCAGCACAACAAAGACTTTAAAGTAGATGTAACCATAATTTACATTCCAGAGGAAAACGAAAAGCCTTTCTTGGTTTACAGAATTACCCAAGAGGCAAACCAGTTCCCAGGCCAGGAGAAATTCTTCATTTTGCAATACACTTTAATTATACCAAGAGAAGCAGCAACAGAATGAGAAATCAATTCCTTCTCCTAAATAAGATGGTTGCAAATTCCAAGTCGGTAACTGAGCAGATGTAGAATTGAAATGGAAAAAGTAAATACCCAAGCAGGCACTGCGAAAATTGTCTTATCTTAACACGTTCATCCACTGGGAAAGGGATATGGGGAGATTGTTCCCAAATCTCCTGATAAGGAAACCAGAACAAATTCAATCACTTTTATTACAGTGACACAGCCGGCATCCAAACGGACACACGCTTCCCCTCCCCGCCTCCACAGCTGCACAGAGCCTCTCCCATAAAGCAGAGCAGCCCCTCGGCCTGCAGAATCCATTGCTCTCCAGTGAAGAGGCAGCTCTGTGCAAATCCACCACCTGTGGGACCTGTGGCCATCCTACTGCCACCAGCATGCCAACAGCACACACCTGGCACCTTGACCTCTGGGGACTCCAAAGACCATCTCTGAGAGGTGAAGGTTCTGCACCTCAGGGCACTGAGCATAGAAGGTGCTCCCCGGCGCAGTGGCACAGCACTGGGACGTTGCTCTCAGATGTAGGGTTTGGGTGGTGCTGTGTGGAGCCAGAGGTTGGATTCAATGACCTTTATGGGTCCTTCCCAACTCTGTGATCCCTCAGAGCAGGAGGGGCCCTCAATGTTCCCCAGAGTGGGCAGTGGATGGCGCCGGGCTGTGCTCAGTAGCAACAGGTCCCTCTTCAACAGACTGACTGCACACCCAGGTGCACCAGGCTGGCCACACATACTTGAAACAAGGTGATTGCTTTGAACGTCCCCCCCACACACAGCTGTGTCTGATGTTTGCACTCTCATTCACTGTTTGCAGCAAAAGCAGATTATTAAATTGTTTCAAAACCAGGAAGATAGCTTAAGTTTGAACAATAGTGAAGCATTTCCATTTAACAACAGTGCTCCTTCTACAGCCAGCCATTTAATGTATTCATCCAAAGCATTCATCCCAGCCCATGTTTAATCTGCCTATTTTTCTATTCTGTCTACTTATCTGCCCATCCACCTATACACTAGAGCAGTAACTCTGGATCCCTTTGCAATTTGTACAAAGATCAAACCCCAGTGTTGCTATCTCATCACGTCTTTATCTCTTGAAAGCCAGACACGTATGATTCCCTTCCAGTCATTAAAGAGACAGATTCCTGATTAACAGAGCTGGGCGCTCCATCCATCTGTGTGCATACACACTGATGCATACACACAAGCACACATGTACTTGCAGATGGCAATCCTAGATTAATAGGTTACACAAGGATTTTATCCCAGGCTTACTGTGGATAATAAACCCTCTAAAAAAAAGTAGACAAATGATTAGAAAAAATGTCTTCAAACACATAACATTCTGTCTGAGCTGCATGTAAGGTGTTGTTCAGGAAATTGCTGAACATTACCGACTCAGATAGCATCTCTGCCAGACCCTCCCCTCATCTCTTTCTGACTGGGAAAACCAAGGACACCCCAGCAGAACAACCATTGGGTCTGTGCTGATGTTCTACATTTCCAGGGTTCGCCACTTCCAAAGTGGGAGGGTGGGCAGAGGGGAGTTGTGAGAAGTTCACTGAGGATTTCCTCAGTCAGACTCAGGATGCTGTCAGTGAACTCCTGGTTTGGATTCAACTGCTTCTCCCTCTCAGCAGCACCAGACCCAGCCTAGAACCACATCCTTCATTTTCCTTGGCCAAACCCATACAACAATGATGAGGGACAGACAAAGCAACCCAGTGGAAATGTGTAACTGTGGATTTTGTTTCTAATTCAGACCCTTCCAGCAACCTAATCCATTTCTGCCAAACTAGAAAGGGAACTTTCTGAATAAAACTTGACTGTGGTTTCAAACTCCATTTACAATGGTAAAGTTATACCACCATGCCTCAACAAAGACAGGTTCTCAAAACACCCCTGTGCTTCTGCATCAGAGAATCATTAACATTGGAAAAGACCTCTAACATTATCAAGTACAACCATCATGCTTCTGCCTGGGGTGTGATTCTTGGGGTTAGGCAATCGATGAGAAATTCCTTGTATCAGAGAAAGACCTCTAGCAGAATTCCACTCTCCATGTTTCCACACAGAAAGCAGAGCATCTGCCCCAACCCCTGCACTGGCACTCAAGCAAAGCCTCTGTGGCAGCCATGCAAAGCAGGGTCTGAATATAGAATTGTTTCAGTTGCAAGGCACCATAAAGGCCATCTGGTCCAACTCCCCTGCAATGAACAGGGACACCCACAGCTCCATCAGGTCCTCAGGGTCCTGCCCAGCCTGACCCAGGGACGGGATACCCACATCTCTGGACAACCTGTACCAATGTTTCATCACCCTTAGTCCTTATATCCAAACTAAATCTCCTCTCTTTTAGTTTGAAACCATTTCCCCTTGCCCTCTCGCAGCAGACCTTGCTGAAGAGTCCATTCCCTTCTTTCTTACAGCCCCCCCCAGGTCTGACAATTTAATCTCTTTTTTCCAGCTAATAAGGATAGTTTAGCATTACTCTTAGAGAGCAGCAAAGGTCTACAGGTCTCATTCATCTCACCTGGATGTCTGTTGCACAGGTGAAACCTCTCATGCGGAAGCACGCTGAGCACTTGCTTTGTTTCCTCAGAAGATGAAGCAGAAACAAACCAACTATGGGTCTCAACAGCATCGCAGATCGGTGTCGCTCCATAGTGTTGCCTGCAAACACTAACACTTCTCAGGATGCAGTGGGAAATGTTTTTGTGTTGATCTCAGCTGTCTGACCCGTCTCCTGCTGTCACCCCATTGCATCCCACAATCTCCAGGGCTGTGTTTTATGATCTCGTCTCTTGGCTGCCTGACGGTTACATAGGACTTCTTTTAGGCTGAATCCTAAAATGATTTCAAAATTAATTACAATACCACCAGGAAAAGCAGATTCAAAATGCTGCATCATTTTTTATCTAAATAATGTTTAAATTTTAAAAGAGGGGGAAAAAAACTAATTACACCTCTGTGTGGAAGATCATAAATCACATAATTACAATGGGAACCTCTGCATCTTTCCAACAGACTAAAAGCAGTCTACGGAGTTCTTATCTCATTACAGTTTAATTAAGAACTATGTTTGAGCATCTTCTTTTTAATTATCACAAAGACCAGATGACTTCCAATTTTTTTTCTTTTTTTTTATTTTTTCTTTTCCCCACCCAAAATCAGGGAGAGTGCAGACCAAAACAGGCTTTAATGAATTTACAATCTGCTCTTTGGGGAACTTTAATAAAATTACTCCACACAGAAGATTAACACTGATGTAGTAAACTTCCAAAGAGAACATTTGGTTCCTTTCAATTAGCATCACATAACTGCCAGGAGTTGGGAAGGGGATGCTGAAGTGGCACCTTTTGGGATAAGGAGAGGAGAGGGCAGGGTGTTGTTGGAGCTGCAAAAGGCTCTAAAACCTGGAGTCCTGGAGCAGCCCTGCAATGCTCCTCCTCCTTCCTCACGTTTGAGAAGAATTTCCCATCAAGCAGTACTGCATGCTGCGCTCAGCACTGCTGGCTGCCATCACCCACAGTGAGGAGCTGGAAAGAGCGCACACGTGTTTTTTTAAGCCCAGCACACAGCAAACACCTTTTAATTCGATTGGTTGAGTCGACACAGAGAGATTATTAGTTTTCAGTAAGATTTCATTCAATTAATTAGCTTGAAAATATCAGCACAGCCAGGCAAGCAAAGAAAAACAGAGATAAATTCCTGCCTTAGCACTGCTTCATCTTTTAAAGGCAATTAACTCTTAGTTATTAGCTTTTAATTAGGGAATAATAATGACACCATTAATACAGTTTATTATACTTGTCAGCAGACAGCTGTTCCAAACAGATTTTATTATCAGATCTTGGCTGCTTTTCTCTGCTCCACTCCCTTTCTTACAGGAGAAGGCAGCAGCTCCCCACGTCCTCCGTAGCCTCAGGAGAGTCCTGCAGGACTGTGGGTGCTCACAGCTTTCATTATTAGTGTGGGTTTTTTAACCCTTCTAAAATTATTTCTCTCTCAGAGAATCCCAGTGGCAGCAGTTCGCAGCCATGATGGTAACTCACATGCTTTTCTATCATCTGTGTTTCCTTGGGGGAGATGCTGGATCTGCACCAAAGCTGGTTTCACACCTCAGCTCCTAACATCCGAGACAGCATCCAACTCACAGAATATTTAAGATGCCAAAAAAATTCACTGTTCTGTTTTGTCTTCGTCTGAGCTTAATCATCTCTCTGGAAGCACCACACGCATTTATAACACAGTAGATATGATTTGGAAGCAAATAATCACGTTAAATAAAGCAAGCATTCCAAATAAGTTTACCCATTCTTAATCTCATTCAACCCCACTGCCAAGTGCACATCTCTGCAAGGAGGCAGCTGCAAAGGGTAGAAGAAACACCATGTAATACCTTTCTTTCCTGCCCCAAATTTATCTTGAAACTTCAAGTCCTCTAAGAACTCTACCGCATTAACACTAGCAAACTGCCTCAAGTTTTCATGGATGCTTTATTATTTCTTTGTCTTCTGCATCACTAAAATAAAATATACAGAAGGCTCCTAATTATGCGCTCTGTCATACACACAGGAAAGCACATGTTCACATTATTTTCACCCGTCATCCTTTTCCACTGTGTCCTAGCATCTCCCTGGCAGAGACTGCAAACTACTCCCAGGGCACACGCCTTTCGTAGCTGTGTTTTACTGTTCCCATATCAGAGAGCCTCTAAGCCAATCTCGCATGCAGGATGCTGCTGTAACACAAAAATATAATGCCATACATTTCCCTGATTTACTCTGGAGTTAATAAATCACAAAAACACCACCCGGTAAAATACTGTGTTGGATTCCAACACCTTCGTTTACATTTTTTTTTCCTTGCACTGGATCAGAGGAAGCCCTAAGGGAAATCGCCAGGAGCTTGGAGACTCAACAAAGTGCCTCCCAGCATCAAAAGCTGCTCATGGCAGGCATCCTTTTCCCCACTCAACACACTGCAGTCAAGTCCCAAGGAAAGAAATTAACCCAGTGTGGGAAGAAAGCAGCTGGGAGAACCTATTTGCAGTTTTCTACAGGAAAGCAGAGAGTTGTTAAATTGAAAGCAATGCTGTTAAAATGAAGAAACTTTCTCTACTGAGAACTGACATTAAAAAACGGATGGTAGGACGGATGATAACCACTACCATACAGATTTGGAAACCGAGGCTCAGACGAGCGAAGAGCCACGAGGCAGCAGCAGGACCACCACCACTGCTGGGAAACTCCAGCAGGATACAGTGTCTCCCAGCAGGCAGTCCTGCTGCCACAGAGCCCTCCATGCGTCCAAGAAGACCATTCCATGTTCGTTGCTCCCTGCACCGACAGCCTTCAGGTGCCAGGTGCTGTGCTGTAGGCATTTTGCGCATTTGTAGCTGTATAAACCTTAGAGCTATGCTGTGCACTTTCACTGGTGACTAAGGCTGAATATTTTAGGAGAAACGGCCTTAGAGAACTTGGTGCAACTATAAAATCTTCTCAGCTGAGGGAATTTTTACGCTCAACTGTATCCAGGCAAAAACTGGGAGAGGAGAACAGCAGACAAATTGAATGCCATCCAGGTTTTTCTCCTACGTAAACCTGACACCCACAATCACACCAGACAATTCAGTACTACCTTCTTATAAGAAAAGTGTCTTCTCAGCTATAATTAGTGCTCTGGCAGCTTTAGCACTACTGACAACTTGTCTTTAGCTTTGGTACTGCTGTTTGGGATCACATACCTGTGCTCGAGGGAAGAGTCTCAGCCAAAGTCCACAGAGGAGGACACATCCCACTGTTTCTCAGTGAATACTTCAACCCAAACAAGCCAGCCACAACCAAAGACGTCCCTCTGAGGCAGGATCAGGGCTTTGTGGAAGTTCATAGAATCATAAATCCTTATGGTTCAGAATTGGACTTCTGGACTCAGTCCAACCAGCTCCCCCCCCAAAGCAGTTCCCTACAGCAGCTGCACAGAAGAGCACCCAGGGGGATCAGAACATCTCCAGGGAAGGAGACCTCACCTCTCCGTGCCACCCTCACAGCACAGAAGTTCTTCCTCACGCCCATATGGAACTCCCTGGGCTCCAGTCTGTGCACGGTGCCCCTCGTCCTGGTGCTGAGCAGCACAGAACAGAGCCCAGCCCCATCCTCCTGACCCCCGCCCTTCACATATTGATCAGCACTGATCAGATCCCTCCCAGTCCCCAGGTGAACAGCCCCAGGGCTCTCAGCCTGTCCCCATCAGGAGGTGCTCCAGGCCCCCACCATCTCTGCAGCCCTCTGCTGGGCTCTCTGCAGCCATTCCCTGTCTGCCTGGGACTGGGCAGCCCAGCTCTGGGCAGAGCAAAGGGAAGGAGCACCTCCCTCGCCTGCTGGCTCTGCTCTGTGCGATGCAGAACCATCGGCATCCATGGCCTCACCTGTGCAATGGAGAGAAGGGTTAACGCTGAACACTCCTCGATGCACATGGGATACAGGGAGCGGCCTTCACTCCTCAGATCCACTGCCATGCGGGCCAGGAAATCAGCTCTGGTTTTACCACTGCTCTTTAGCAGAGAGTCAGCTCTGAAAGGCACAAATTTTCTCACCACAATGGACCTGTCACAGCGACAATTATATTTAACAGCAGTTGTTCAGCCTTGCCTTTCAGGGGCGCTGATTATGGCAGTAAATAGAAACACGTTAGGGGGGAGTGAGGGGATGCTGACAGGCTGCAGTTGTGCTGCACTGGGGCTGCAGGAGCCCAGGCATACTGTGGCCTCAACTAAAGGAACCCAAGGGGATGTTCCTTCTCATTGAGCTTTTGGCAAGGAGCAGAGGGTTAAAAATGCTCCCCAGACCAAGGCCAGAGGCAGCAGACAGAACACATGGAAACAGTGTGTCAGAGGCATGGGTTATTCTTTTTTTCCAGTCAAGTGCCTGCTGAGAGTGAAACATTGCCATGGTTCTGTCAGTGCTATAACCAGATGTGAAGTTGGGTCTTTGTGCTCAGAGAATACATCTATTAAAAGTGTAAAAAGGGCATCCAAAATCAAGACAGGCTCCTCCAAATGCAAGGGAAGATTGGCATTGGGGTTCCCTTCCCAGTATCACACAAGTAGTGGGAACACATATGGCAATTAAAAGAAGAAGAAGAAGAAGAAGAAGAAAGGAGCTTAAATTTAGCCACTGCAGTAGGTCAGTGTGACACTGTTCATTGCAGAGCACTATGAAGACCATGTTAGGTCATCTGGAGATACTTATAGGAAGGGCCAGAGGGTACATTTGTGCTGTGAGGCACTTGGGGCATGAACAGGCAGGAAAAAAAAAATGAGGATATCTCTCATAACTGAGGAAAATCGCAGAGAAATTGATTTGGACAAAACAGACCCTGCTCTTGATTTTTCAGAATGTTATAGAAATGAGATTAATAACAGCATTTCAGAAGCAGCCAATTTTCTATACTCATAAGGAGTCAAAAAAAATCTTGCAATGAATTGTTTCTGTAAAACGGAACCATCCCTGAGCAGGGGGATCTCATAGAAACAGTTGTTCTTGAGCAGATTTTTCACTATGCACTGACAAAAACCGCGCACTGACCACCCAACACAGGGCACACAGCTATAGGATTTCAGCACTAATTCCATACTATAGCAGAGTCTCAGATTAATCAGATGCACCATTTCCTCAGATATTCTCCTGTGGCTCCAAGCTATGAAGATAACAAAAAGAAAAAAACTTTCAGCTCTAAGTGGAGACACAAGACTGGCACAACAGCCCTTTTCCTCCACCCCATTGCTTCTCCATGTAGAAAATTATCCACTGACCCTTCTGTACCTACAATCAAGTTAGATTTGATCTTTCTAGTCAGGCAGATGAATCTCTGCTATTCTAAATGGCAGCAGCATCTTGGCTTGCATCATGGGTTACTGACCATTCAATCCTAATCAAAGAAAATTTGCTGTGTTTTCAAGAGATGGCTCCGTTAAATGAAGCAGATGAGCAGTGGGTCTGTCCATTTATTTATTTTTAAACCATGATCTGGGGCACAGGGGAGGGTATCACTCCCCTTTCAGAGACAGTTTGGCTACGAGCACATTTGCTGGAGGATATTAGCAGCTGGCATCTGAAATGGCAAGACTAGGAAATAGAGGTAAGCCAAAGTCAACTGTGCTGAAACGCAGCCAAATTCTTATTTATACCACAGGAAAAGTGGCTAAGCTGTGGTTACTAAATAATTCCAAACAATATTTGCAGAGTGACCTTTACATTTCTCCTCTTGAAAACAAAACATTTAATTGTTTTGCTCCTCTACTGCAGAATAAATAACTCCCAGCAATTTTCTATTGGTGTGCATATAAACCAAGTTGTTATCTTTTTCTACTGTCAAAGCTGCCAAATAATTCCCGCTCAACATCTCCAACTCATTTCAATTTTGGCCCTTTGCCAAAGCTTGTTTGTTTTGGTTTGTTTGGTTTTTTGTTTTTTTGGTTTTTTTTGTGTATGCCAGCACTGTTTTCAATAGGAAGAGAATCCAGAGAGATGACCTGAACATGGGGATAGAAATTGAGTATCCACAAGAACACATTTTGAGCGTTTCTGCTAGGGTTTCAAGAAGCTTGTTCAATCTTTTCTCACATGAAATTCTTGTTGGCAAGATAGGCACTAATGCCCAAAGGAGCACCAGCAGGTATCACCTCTACCAGGTACTTTGAAGCAGAAGTGGTTTAAACTTCAGAGTTAAACTCAGGTACAGGGTTTTTTTCATTAATCTGTGATAAGATCAAGGGACACACTATCCTTCTAACCCAGGAAACATGAAGCCAGTGGAACAGGACATAATGGGTCACAAGTGGTACTGTTCCTATAGCTCCTGCACATGTCCCACAGACAGATACAAAGGCAAGCTGCCTGGGAAGTGACAGAGATAAGTCAGACTGCAGGCACGTGTAGGAAGGGCTGCACATAGTGCTATCAGCTGCCACGGCATGAGATGGACTGCTATGGCAGTTGCCACGTTCCATGCAGTTTCTCCTCGCTTTAAACCATCAAAGCATAATCATGTGCCAAGAAAACCTCATCTGCTACAAACTTGCACTTTCCAACTCACTCCGACTGCAGTTTGGTCTGAAAGAGATCTTCTGACAATACAATTGTTCAAATTATTTTAAAAACAGCGTTAGAAGCTCATTAGAGCACCTTAGCTAGGTAAGATGTAGGGAAAAGAAGCCCAGATGAAACAAGTAACAAGGGTTTTCTTCCTGCAGTACAACAAAAGGATCTGCAAGAAAGTTTTCACATTCGCTCTGAAAAAAAAATCAAGCCAGAGAAAAGACATTAGCAATGTGCTGATCTGTCCTTTCAGCCCTCAGCTGGAAGATGCTTGCTACCACGTAAGTTCTGTTAGTTTAATTCAAATTGCTTTTAAACTAAAATAGCATTCCCAGATTCAAAGCTCCTGATTACCTTAAACTAAAACTACCCAAATAAAGCACACTGACCAAAACAAGGGAAATAAGGGCATTCTTCCAGAAGAAAATTGCACCTGTTTAATGAGCAGTTTTATTAAACTGGTGCAATTTGTTCAAGCTGAAGGAGAACTACTGATGAAGAACTAATATGAACAGTGAGGGAAGAGAAACAGAGAAAAATCCCTGCAGACTAACCTTAAGAAATAGAAGTTCCACAGAACTGGCCAAAGCACAGATGTCTGTAGCATGTGACAATGTTTCTTCATCATCTGCTCTTTTCCTAAAATAAATGGTCACAAAAGCCAAGCAGAAAGGAAAGTAGCCAGTACACCAAATAGGGAGCACCTGCAAGCCCCAGTATCCACACATGGACTAGCAGCAAGGCCAGGAATAGGAAAGCCATACTGGAGATTGGGAGTAACATGTCTGCAAGAATTGCTTCAACAGAACTAAAAGAAATATTCTAGACTGACAGTGCAATGAGACAGCAAAGGACGAAGTGGTAAAGATGGTGTAGTGAAAATGCTAACTCATGGCCTGAAACAGTGATGGAGCACCTGGTGGGAAGGCAGGGCCAACCCAGGGGAACTAAGGTGCATGCAGTGCCCCTGAGTGACTGGAAGGGGTGGAGCCAGGATCCACCCTTTCCTAGACCTCAATCAAGGGTTGGCAGTAGAGGCAAGGGGATCTCTCTGGGAGTCCTTGCATACCTGAGGCCTTCCAAAGGTGAGCAGCTTCCTTCCCTTATTTCTGTGCCCACTGCTGTTGCATTTGAGTGAATCCTCATTTGCTGCAGTCTGGGATCTTGCTGCTCTGCTGTCACTGTTGTGCTTTCCATCAACTTACAGATGGAATCAATCACTTTTGGAAGTCAGGGCTGTCCTCTCAGTCTCAGCAGCAGCCAGAAGATAACAGTCTCAGCACAATCAACATTACTGTTTCTACAGTCTTCTAATCTTCTCCTTTACCAAGACCAAAAAAAAAAAAAATATTTTCCATTTTTTCTTACCAAGCTAATGATCTTTCTTCCTCCAGACAAGAAGTAAATGAATGGCTTCTCCACCTACTTTTCCAGTCTCCAGCCACATGACAAAAGTCCCTGCTGGCCTCAGAGCAGGCAGCAGTAGTGTGTTGATCCCAGCCTTTTTATTGCTGCCAGCAATTATCACAAAATTACTTTATTGTGCATGTGACAGTTGGTGATACTGATTCGGAGTTTTATCAGCTCCTATACTATGCATCTCAGAACACGTTTATTATGAGGAAACACTGCTGTTAAGCAGCCCAAAAGAAGCTGTACTTGCTCAAAGCAGTAAGAAAAAATTGCAGTCTTTTGTGTACAACAAAGCATCATATACCAGCGTCTTGTCCCACCTTGACAACCCAGGTCTGCTAACAGCTGAGTCCTTGGAAATGGTTCTGCAGGGCAGAACCAGAGGCAAGCAGGAGGGAACTGTGCAACATCCAGTAATGTAGAATATCCTCTGCAGGGCAGGATGAGAGGACAGCAGCACCTCTCAAGGATGGAGTTGGCACAGATGGAGCAACTGGAAAAGCAAAAGGGGGACTGAAACTTGCCTTAGTAAGAGAGGTAGCTCAGCTGTTTAAGGTACATACAAATTCCCTTTCTCCAGGGATAGGAAAGTTGCAGAGATTAGAAGAAAAGGCCAACGAGTTGTGCTCATTTACAGTCTTTCCACCTAGCCCCAAACAGTATTTAATAGTAGACAGAGGAAAGCATAGGAAGCAGTGCTCTGCACTACTGCAGTTGTAGCACCCACATCATCTTCCTGAAGACTCTCTGAGCATAGCACAGCTGCTGAAAACCCCACATCACATAGTTTAGTGCAGTAGTACGAGCTGGTAACCTATAGTGACTTTAGGGATGTTTGCACAGTAGTGTCTATTCTACTCTGTGAGGCTGTGATAGAAGTTCTAAACATTGTCTTCTAATGTCTGATCCAGGCAGTCACTTGGAAGTACTGAAGAGATCTTTAAAATTATATTTGTTCTTATTACAGCACTATAGAAGACCTTAAACTCAACAGGTAAACTTCACGCAGATGTAAATTCTAATGGACTTGTGGGCAGAGGCTGCTGATACTAGTGACTGCTCTGATTCTTCTCAAGAAAAACTATTAACCCATGAAGGATTAAACACTGGAGATTCTTTTTCTTTCACGTAATCTGCAGCATCTGCAACAGTTTGAGAGGAATTTGGAGAAAAGGATAAGGGCTCAGAAAGGGAAATGATTTCTTCAAAGGAAGGATCATATTTTAAGTGGTTCAATGTCAGCATGACTTCTAAAGGCTAAAAGGAAGGCTACTGGAAGGCTGTGAGAAACACTCCCAAAGCGAAGTAACAAACTGGTGACATATAAGATTAAGGATTTTAGGATAACCTTTGGCTATTTAGCAACCACTGCCCTTATGAGACATCAGTCTAGAGCAAACCCTGGACCTTGAACCAAAAATATACTGCAAGCTTGGTTCCTAATTTTGGGAAGAGGTGCAAACCTGTTTTCCTGCATGGTTAACAGAGCAGAAATGGAAAAAAAGAAAAAAACCAACCATGCTCCTGCTTAACAGTCTTAGCATGTCTGGGCTCAGGTACCCAATCAGATGCAGAGCTTTCTTCTCCTGCAGTACAAGCTACTTTAAACTTAGAAATGAAGAGACTTCAACCCCCCAGTAATTGCAATTCTGAAGCGCTCAACAGCCTTTAATTCATTATGAACCTAGAGGCAAAGGTTTAAAAAAAAAAAGGCAAAAAAAATACATCACATCCTTAATCTAGGAAAAAAGTCAGCATTTTTATAGCACATCATTAGACACTTACAAATATATTTCACTGAAGGAAGGAGAGGGTAGGACTGTGCGTTTTCTATTTCCTTTTCAATAGTTTGATGCACAGAGGCCATCAACACAGTCATTATAGATAATCTGCACAAGTCATTCCTAAACCAAAAAGAGATTTAAAAATGAACAAAAAGGGAGAATCCCTGCAACGAGGAAAGGCATTCCACAGATCCAGATTCACGTTTAAACATAACTCATCATCTGACTATGGGGTGAGAAAACACAATTTGTTTTGTACAATATAAATAGTATTTAAAAGAGTACTACATATGAACACAGTAATGATGCTATTTCAGTCAGGACTTTACATGCAGAGGAAATTCCCTGTCACTCACAACCACTCATCTCATCCCACCCTTCCCCTCCCCCTCCTAAAAAAACTCCTCTGCTGTTCAAATTCTCTTTCAGCTGCTTTAAATATTTCTCCGAGGCCTGTCAACATTCCTTTTCTTTTATACAAGCAAGCTTTCTACTAAATGATGCTTTAACTGACAGGAGACAGCTACGTAGGAGGAACAACTGAGGCTTTTAAGAACCTTGCCAATGTTTAAAACTTTTATTAGTCTCAGTTTGTTTGATTCTCAGAGACTTCCACTGAAAACATCAAAACCTCAGAAATAAAAACCCTATTTCAAACTTCTTACAAACATGCACGTGTGCACGCAAAGAAAGTAACCTACAGCAGAGGCAATAAGAAATAAAGGGAACTGCAATTCTCTCAAGAGAGAACAAAAACCAAAAAGAACATTAAAAAAAAATTACTGTCTCCACTCTTCACTAGGGCAGTTTCATACCCATCAAGTCTTGTAAGATGCTCAGCTACCATCTGCTAGTCCACAAATCCTTCCCACTTATTCCCTTAAAGATCCGACTATAGCACTGCTTAAAAATCGTTCCACCAAACGACCACCTTGCAAAGGGGCTTAAAAGAACAAAAAAAAAGAGAGAAAGAATATTGGAATATTGTCTCTTTCTGTCCAGTAATTTCAGGGAATTAAGTGGAAAAGACTGCCATGCAGCATTCAGGATAGCTTCTGCCAGGCCAGGACATCCAGGTGAGCAGCGATGCACCCCTGCCCCCTCACCCAGATATTCTGGAAGCCACATCCCCTTTCCAGCTCTGCACCAGGGCTGCATTCATCCTTCCTTCTGATAGAGGTCCTCCAAAGAAAGTGGAGGACTTTCCAGTGACTCCAGCAGCGTTTTGGTTCAGGCTCTTATAAAACACTGTTCCATAACAGCTCTTTGATCGGAGGCGATTTCCAAGTGTCCAAGTGGGAGCTGCCTACTCAATATCTGAGGATTTGTTTTTGCCTTTAATGCTCATTCAATTCTCGGTGAACTGAGTCCAATTAAATGAAGGGCTTGCATTCCTCTTCCCAGGAGTATCTTAAAGGCTCAGTCTTTACTTAAGTAAAGGATGTCACAACAATCAAAGACAGTTGGGGAATTTCTTCTTTAATAGGATAAAAGAAAAACATACAAACACCTCCCGGGTTTCTGTCATGGAATGATTCTCACAACTGTAAGGAGCACAACTCAGAAAAATAAAAATGGAGTCAAAGAAAAGAAAAAAGGTTCCTATGGGAGACATGCCTACCAGAGAGCTAGAACAATTCCTTTGTGCTCTAGTCTGCAGTGGGGAAGGGGATGGCTCTTAAAGGAACTAACACAAGAAGCAGCAACAGAACACTTGCCAAAACCGAGTGGCATATTATAACTGAAAGCCATGCTCTTTGTTGGTTTTGTTTTTTGTTTTATCTTTTTTTTTGTCTTTTTTTTTTTTTTTTTTTATAAACTAGAAAGCAACTTAGATGGCAAGGATGGGAAAGGAAGATGACAAGAATGACCAGAACCTGGCCATTGCTTCACTACGTCCCTTCCTGGTGACATGGCAGAAATGCACACATCTATCACTTCTTTAAGAGAATTAACAGTAAGAAACATCCCAGCTATGAAACATTTCTTTCCCCATCTTCCCCAGATTACAAATGAGATAGTGTTTCTTTACAAAAAGGAACCCAGAACTTTCCAGGACATCTGTTCTTGCTTTCTCTCTCCCCAGTGTAATATTAGTCACATTTCATTGAGGGGTGAGAGAGGGGAGGATTTTATTTCTGTTTTAAAGCCATAATCTAGAAAAATGTTTTGTGGAAACTTTTGTTTTCCTATTTTCGTTTGCTTTTTTTTTTTTTTTTAATAGTGCTTATTTATAGAAAACTTCACAAAGTTGACTTCTATTTACAGGAAACACAATTCCAAAGGCTGCTTCAGTAGTCAATGTAATAGCACCTTTAAAGACAAAAGAGTTTGACGTATTTTAAAAAGTCACTTAGTCAAATTTTAACCCTTTCCAAGCCTTATAAAAAGGAGCTAATCACAAAGCTCCATCAGTACAAATGCTGGAAAGTCTCCAGGTGAAATGCTGTCTGAAGGTTTCTCAGGCTCCCAGTCCCATTGGTCTGGCAAAGTAGAGGTAGCGTGCAGCCAGACAGGATTTTCTTGCAGTCCAAACCAGAAGATGATGAAAGGAGTTCACAGCAGGGTATTGCACAACACTGGTCTTATATTCCGGAGCTTCCTGGTTATTTTTCTACAGGCTTGAAAAGGGTTAACTTCATATTTAATTAATCCTGGTTAAAACATGTTGCTCTGAGTTCCAGGTTGGTACTGTGTCTGCAACAGGCTCTCCATAAAGGCCAAGTAATCTGGGTTTTGTCCGTACTCTTCAGGATTCCTTGCATTCCCCAGCCGGGGACGCTTGGCTGCTCTCATTTCATCTCCCAAAAATACATCTTCCTGAGGGGCCCCAGTGCTGAGGGACTGCAGGAGACATGAAAGTACAGTATTAGAAGCACAGGAGGAATACACAGGTAGACGTGCACAAACTGTTGAGTGCACCCGCTTAACCAGGCAGCAGGCATAACATGGCAGCAAACAATTTGATACAGTGAATTTCTGAAGAAAAACCGAATTCCGAAACACGCAAAGCACGCAGCTGAAAGAAAAACTTCTGGGCTTCTGAAGCCAAACTGGAAGGAGAAGTCCTTGAGTTGCCTTCCTTCTGTATCAGAATATCTTTTACTTCGATTCCTGCCTTGACAGTTTGCTGTTTGCTCTTACCCTCCTCTGTCTCTTCGCATTGTTCACTCCTAGAATGCACACAGGAAACAGGGGCTTCCCTGATGTCTGTTAAAGAAAGGAAAGACCCAAAGAAAGCACTTGGGGCTAAGATGACTGTATGAATGATTGCTTCTGTTCATCTTCCTCTTACACTCTCAAAAGAGATGCGTTTCTCCTATTGCTTTGTTCCTCTGTTCTCTATAAAAGCACCACGAGCATCACTTCTGAGGAGTATTATCTAAAGTCTTTGGGAGCAGAACAAATAGAAGAATCTTAGCTTTCAGCCAGGCTTGAAACATTTTGTTCACTTTAGAGCCTACATTCCTCTCCCTGGGACTGATATAAAGCCCAATAATCTCCACTGAAGAGAATATGCTGTTCCCCAAATCCTGTATCCTGAAAAACAATTGTCACCAAAAATCTTCTGAGGGTAACGAGGTAAATTATTACTTAACTGTAAAATTTATGCCATGAGGCCTTACGGAGATGAAGTGCCTCTAAGAAGACGGAGAAGCCATACAGATGCTTCAGACAGCGTTCTACAAACGTTACTTGGATAAAACCCTTTCAAGAGTAAGCAAAGTTTTCCTCCAAACTTGAGGAAAACATGATAAAATGCGAGTTTTTTCCACATAAATGACTGTTACTAGATATTTTTGGACAATGAGCCTCTCATGCTTCTGCTAGTGGTTCAGAGAATCACTGGCTCAACTTCGTATAGCAGTTTGTGTGTTCTTAAGCAATCGCTGGACCATCATTTTGCCTCAAATGTATCACAGATTAACTCTGTAAATCTGTCCCTGCCATGCAGTAGCTAGCACGACAGACATTTAGAAAGAAGAGGAAAGCTTAGAATCTGGTCTCAGTGTTTGTTTGAATAATAGTTGAAGGACGAGATTTGAAAACATCCAGCAATAAATCCCTGATTCTCTAGGCTGAATATTTCAGTTGCATGCATTTAAAGGCAGGGTGATCTTTTAGATAAGAGTTTTGTAGGTAAGGATCATGTTTTAACTCTCCTGTTTGATAAGAAATGGCATTGGTCCAATGTCACTAAGTCAGTTCTCCAGGAACCACTTAGCTGTAGGCCAACCCATCTAATTCAAGATGAAAGGCAGTACTGAGATACAACGGCAGTCCATATAACTAAATTCATGACATAAAATGGTAGGAACATAATCTTTTAACCAGAGAATACAAGAATCAGGTCTGAACATGTAAAGGAAAAAAACATTTAAATGCTTCTCAAGCATTTACACACCAAGGATTTCAACGACTCTACATATTTTCTGAGTGACCAGGAATTTCACAGCCACAGAAAATGAAGGATGCATTCATCTAATGTCTAAACAATACGTTAAGAAAATGTGAACGAGTACTTCAAGCCACAGCCATTTCACCGTTTCTTTTACTTCAATACCCACCAAGCGAGACTTCACTCTCTTTGGAAGCTCCTCCTCCAAGGTATAAATATCACCACGCTTTACCATTAGTTGGGAGCCATCTTCAAACTCAACCTGCACAGTAGAAAGAAAATGAAGTAAGAATGTTTGGCTTCTAGATTCACAATACATGATCAGTTCACTCCCAAGCATGGTCCCTTCATGGGACCATCAGCAAGCAAGCTCCATGGATGATTCACTGTTCTTGGCTCTGCATCTCTCTAGCTTTGCTGTAGAATGAGCTTTATTAAGAAGTCTGAACCCAAGAGCCAGGTTTCAGTGCTGCTCAGGCATCTGTTTCATCTGGCCCAAGCAGTTTCATTCAGTGCTCCTGCAGATTAGAATGGTTGTGCTACAGCGCCCTTGCTATCCCCTCCCAGTCAGAGCACTAGAAATTTCCACTGATTTTTTTTTTTTTTAATTCCAATCCTGAAAAAAAAAAAAAACAGCTTTTCACTTATAATAAAAAGCAGCCCTGTATTCAGACCAATATGGTAATAAGAATTTCTTTCATCTTAAACAAAGCATTTTTACACGTCATAAGGAAACAACTGCAGCTACTAAAATACATTTCCATTAAGCAGAAATAATCAGTCAGGAACAAGAAATGGTGGTAAGTCCTCATGTTAAATCTTATGCACTAAGCATTGATTGTGTCATGAATTATGCATCAGTTGTTACAGCAACGTTTATTCATGGAAACACGCATATAAAATTGTTAAAATTATTAAAAGTTTTTAAGAGATGCTCATTTCCTTTGCTTAGGGTTTATACTTTTCTGCATAATGCAGAAAGACACACAACAGTTAATTTGGGACATCAGGTTCAGACTGGGCATGTTCAGCAAGTAGTGAGCACCTGCACTCTGAGCTCCTCCTGTGCTGTCCAGGTCTTATAACTCATCAGTTACCCAAGATCTGTGATGCCTGCTGAGGTGTCTTAGCTGAGCAATGCACACCAACAGTAATAACTAAGCAGGTAGGAGACCAATCTTTGAAAGACTGTTATTATATTTAAGATGCTACCGCTCCCATTTACTCTCAAGTTTTACAGATCACTAGGGAACAGAATTAACAGCCCAGCTACAAGCAGACTCCCGTCTGCCATTTCCACTGCATGTGCTCAACTTCAGCAGCAAGGGAGGACTGGCAGCACAGAGCAATGACATCTTCAGCTATCACACGATGGCTGCATTTTGTTTATTAAAGTTCCAAACTACTGATATGGCTCAAGACCCTCTTAAGAATACACATTAGAGTATATTAAAAGTTGTTTGAACTAACACACACACACACACACACACACACACACACACATATATTTAAATACACAGATCTAATCTTAGCATACAAAATGCAAACTTAGAGATGTGAATTGGAAAGCCACTGCAAAATAAGACAGGACAAGTTTAAAATCCAAATGCTAATCCATGCTGTCTTGATCTGAACACACTAATTTCATGACAGAACTGTCACTGTATTATTAAATACAATCCTATTCCAAAACAGACAATAGAGATTCACAGCAACTGCTGGAAAAAAAATGCTCATAGGAAACCAATGTAGAAAGCTATTCAGTCTGTTTTCCCCATAGAGAGGAGCTTTACTTATAGGTAACTGCATGATTTGAAAAACACAGGCTCCTCATGCATATTTTTCTGTCATCTGGCACTCGAAATGGAATAGCCTATTTCAAATTATTTTACTTTCAAGAAATCAATGACAATTTCCTATAGTGTGATTAAACTGGAAAGCATGCATAAAAATAGATCTTCATGGAACAACGTATTGTACTTATTCATAACCTGGGTCACCTGGATCACATCTTCTCTGAAGCAGCTGCCTTCCATTACACACACAAAAAAGACTGTTAACTAACAAGGTGGGCTATTGTGCTCCTGGCACACAGATATGAAACACTCCGTGTGCAGAAAGGATAGAAATCAGAACCCAATTTCAAACAAATGCAATATTTGGGACTTCCTTTGCCTTTTACTATTGTCTAGGGGCACCAACCTCTTTAAAATAACAATTCTTTGCAAATTCCAGAACGTATTTTTCAAAAGAATGTGCACCTTCCTTTACAAATCACTGTTATTTTCAACTTTTTGGTACCATTTAAAATAGATTTAGTCATATGAACATACTGCATCTTACAAAACCTTCTGCTGAAATACTAACACTGTGTACCAGATTAAATCTTCTTTTATTCACTATCACAGCCTTCTAGAAAGAAAGATTTTGTCTGTGCAACAGACTCAAAGACCAAAAACTGCCTGCTATTCTTCTCATCCTAAAAATGGAGGTGGTGAGAATGTATGAGGTTATTATTCCTACACACTGCTACTCCTCTGCAAAGTCCCTTCCCATGACCAGAAAAAGTCTCCTGATCCATCATTTCTCCTACTTTCTGTTGAATTCAAGGAAAGTTTTAATTATTTAAATACTGACTCGTGGGAAACTGTAGGTCATGAGCTACATTAGCACAACCCATTGGACAGACATCAGAGAATACTGAGAGCAGGTCACTTTGACCTGAGTTGTTTTATCACTAACAAAGCTGAGCCACCAGCTGTTAAACTCTTTTGCCCACAGTGAAGGTGAATTGCTTTTCCTTCACAGGCTCTCTGTTGTGGGCATGTTCCTGTGTAGAAGCTTCTTGATAATGGTGAAAGCTCAGACAGGAAACAATTACTATGGGTCACGGGAAAGGAACACCTTCTGGAGACCAGCCTGTTGCCTCTTTGCCCATCTAAAGAACAAAGACATTTACTTTCAAGAGGAAAGCTACTTCATGCCAAACAATCTTGTATTGACTTTAACAAATCCTTTTGTTTTACTTACTCTTTTTATCCATAGTTCCAAGTGAAAGACCTGCACAACTCTAAACAAAAAGCTGCATGTTTCTCTCACTATAAGAAAAGCTTATGTTTTAAAAGCACAGTCTAGACATACTTCTATTCATACATCCATATTCTGTCACAGAAAACCTTTATCCTGATCTTACTGTAACACTACATATCTCTTTAGACTACCAGTAGTATTAACTCCAGAAAGCAAATTCCCTCTTCATGAGTAAATACTTCTCTTCAGAGTAAGCATCCAAGTACCCAGGGAGCAATTAGGGCAACAATTAGACATACTGACATGAAGCATGTAGCTACTCCTCGGTACACACCTGATAAATCTGACTGATCTGGGCTGCAATAAACTTGGCCTTATAGATAATTCCATCTGTCCACTGCAGTTGAACCATCTCACCCTCTGGAGGGGGTCCCAGTTGGATGCAGTCTCTGCTCTGGGGATATAGAGACAAAGAGGTCAGACAGCCAGAACAGACAAAGCTCAACAACTAGTAGAAGAGGTCACTACTCAGGGAAGTTGCCACATAACACTACAATTAAGCATGAGAAAGCTACTAGATTTGTGACTAACTAATCTCAAACAAACCAATAAACTGTGAAAAAAGAGAAATAAAACACTTGCACCTCCTAGTGACAGTACTCAGTTCTGGAAAACTTCTCATTACAGATCCCAAAGAATCAAATCACCAATGTCAACAAAAACATGTGAGTTGACTTGCTATGTTTCACGTGGTGAATCAATGGCTCAATCAGGAAGAAAAAGCATGAGATGACAAGTCAGCCTTTTTTATACATTCTTTCTATTAAGCGTATTTCCTATTTTCAACCAGAAGCGCTTACAGACAATCTGCTTCCCCATGAATCACAGTTGTCAGTTGAAAAACTAGAGATTATTCAAACACAAAACAAACAGGATGCAACTTAAAACAAGCACTGCTTTCTGTTAAGTCCTATACATACAGAAAAATCCCACTTTGTAAAGGAACAAAACAATGAAATGAGATAAAGTCATAGAGGAAGGACAGAGATGAAGAACAGTATGAGGTTACACTCATTTATAACTGTAATAGCCTTCATAGTCAGCTGCTTACAATAATGCTTTCTGGGTAAACGTTGTCACTGTATGACCCATCATCAAAGTTTACTTCATAGAAAGTCTGTGTCGTCATGCCAATCACTTTACATCTGTAGTAGAGTCCATTCCGGTTCTTTGTGATCACAGTCTGTCCAAGGGTCACCTCCCTTCGAAACTGAATCTGTGTGGCAGAGGAGAGGAAGAAATATGCGATTGGAAAAGCTGTGCTAAAAATACAGGTGCAGGGAAACAAAACCAAAACCAACCAGCAAACTCACATTCTGGTTGGCTGCTTTGTGTTTGAAACAAGTGATGGACACGACGTAGGGCCAGTCATCGGGCTCCATGGGCACGCCAGCAGCATGCGCGCAGGTCACGTGGAAGGAAGTGGAGCAGTGCTCGTAGGAGCACTGGATGCAGGCACCAGACACCTTCTTCATCCGCTTTCGACAGTACACACATTTCTGAGAAGAAAAACAAATCAGCATCATGCAGTAACAGTATTGTTAAGGCAACAGACTGGCACCCAATGACGGACTGGGTCAGAATTTGTGCATATAGGACAAATATATACACCACTAGTGTATGCAGAAAAGAAGCCACAACCAAAACTTAGGATGTTTCATTCTGGGGGATCAAGTCTGATACTACCAGAACTGCCCGTCCAAGCACTTGCCTAGAATCACTTATAAGCCAAGGAACTACAGCAGGAACTGACATCATTCCCACAAACATGATGACATCTACTGCTAATTCAGTCCTCCAGCATCATACTAATAGTGAGGAGATTTAAACCCAATTTGAGATTGCGTTCACGGGAGGACTGAAAATGAGAACATGGCAGACAAACACACATCAGTATTATTTAAGAATGGCTGCAATGTAATATTCATCTCCCTTAATATACACAATATCAGTTATTTCAAGCAGCAGCTAAAACTTCAGAGCTACACTGCAATAAAATAATGCTTTCATTTTCAGAAATAATGGAACATGGGATGACTGTGTAATACTTTGTTCTATTCTATTCAATGGAATGTTACATCCATTGGATCTAACAGAATATCATTTCTGATAATGGAACAAAATATTATCTGGGTGTTTATTTATTTATTTATTTTTATTTTTACACAAAAACACATCAACTGAAAATGTTTTATTGGAATTTGTGTCAGATTAGATATGGCAGACAACAGAGAAAAAATAAAAACACAGTACCAAACATCAGAATTGCAGGGGGAAGTAGTATGAAATCTTTCAGTATTTTTAAAATATCTTCTGCAAAGTAGATCTATTCATTAAGCTCATCTAATGAGACAGAACCTAAGGGGAACAGGTAAACAATTTAAGACATGACTGCTTTAAAAGTTTTTTGGAGGCTGAAAGCCAGGATTAGGTGTCAATAGGAAACAAGATGAACCTCCTCATTCATTCCCTAGGAGCACCAAATTGTTTCTCTCAGAAATATGGATGAGATTTTGGTAGTCTGAATCCAAGGGATTTTATGTTGGACACTTGGTAATATTTCCATGCAACTATTTGGAAATGCCACTGCCAAGCTTTTAAGATCTTAACCCTGTAGAATCTGTCACTGATCAGTGACAGCTTCTTTACCTTGGCTTAGGCTTCTCAGATGAGGCAAATCAAGGAAATTATCATGCCTGAGATGAACATGCATTTTACTTGTTAAAATGAATGGTGCTACTTCTAATAAATAAAATCCTGAGAGACATCATATACCTGTGAATCTGACTATACATCCCAGTAATTTATTTATTAGAGAAACTATTCCCATATACAAGGAGGAAAAGAGGAACGCAATAATTTTTAGTGCCCATTTCTAGATGACCATCTCCAAAGCCACTGCCCCACTGTCTGATTGACTGTCTCCAACCTAAACCATCCATCCACTGGAATATAAATGTCCCATAATCACATATGATGCAATGCATCACAGCCTTTCTCTCTCTGCGATGTCTGATGTTAAACATGGTCTTTCTTTCCCTCATTACATCTTCACGGTCTCTCATTTACTCCAGTCCTGTTAATCCACTGTTCAAAGCACACATCATCACAGAACTCATGACCTGAGTGTAAGATCCATATGAATGTCAGCATCCCATAGGATCAGCAATGCAATATAAGCTGCCTGAGCTCACACAGTCAGTCTATACAGCTCCCAAAAGTACACATTCACTCCGCTTCCAGATCTGAGCCAACTGAAGAGCATATCCTCAAAAATATGAAGAGTCATAAAGCACTATAAACTATGTAATAAATGCAAACGAAGAATTGCCAAATTTCAGAGTTATATTTGTGTTCTCATAGTACATGGCACCCAGGTAAGAACTACAAAGCTTTGCCAAGGCAAATAAAAACCATTCCTTCTCCAAAGAGTACTTCTTTCTTCCTTCAAAGCAAAACATACAAAAGAAGGGGAGATGCCTTCTCCCTTATTTCTTGCCAGCCAGCCGCTGCCCAGCCATGACCCATCCCACAAGGATCTGAAGTAAGTCAAATTCACTTCCTGTGAGTTAAATTAAGTCAGTATGTTTACAACGAAGATTAATTTGGGCTTCTTCACTAACATTAACAAAAGCCAGGAAATTCGAAGTCAGGGCCTTACTGTTGCCAGAATATGGGTTGGTTTTTTTTAATTTTATTTAATAAGCTATGCCTTTATCATTCTGTAAACCATGTTCAAAAGCCAGATAAGCACTACAGCAAAGTGCACAGTAGGAACACAGCACTGAAAGCAAGTCAATAGCAATGAGATCTCATTATTAAACTGTCAATACCTAATTCTCTCACCAGCAGGGACAACTGCTGATATACAGTGTGCTCAATACTGCTTCTTCAGGGAGTATTAACCCTCAAGCATCAGGAACCTCCCCTTATTGATGCAAACAGGACTCTTCCAAGACAAGAGGATTAGCACACTTTTAATGACACCCGAGTGGCAAACAAATTTCTCATGACAGAGAAGAGAGATACACAAGTGGAATATCGAGAGCAAATATGATCAAAGGATAAAGGAAAATGAGAGCCACAGTGAGACTGAAATGCAGGAGATGTGGAGGGAGTAAGAACACTGAACATCTGGAAGCGTGGGAGATGGGACGTATAAAAGCACAAGTGCTAAGTACTGCAGGGAAGCAGCACGTGCAAGATTAAAGATGTTTTCTGAGGGAGGGTAGATGTGAGAAGGTTTAAAGCCCTGAACAAAAATCCTCAGAATGAATGCACATCAGAGAGTTGGGTCATAGCTGGAGGTAAGGAATGGGCTGTTTCCTGCTTGATGAACACTGCAATTCATTTACTCCACTGAGAAATGACAGCTAATTATTCCAAATTTCCACATCAGAAATAATTTATGCACACAGGCTTGTAATACACCATTTATCAGGAAGCAAGCAAACTGTATGCTTCAAATGATGCAACACCCACCAATGAACTGGTAAGTCTGTGCTGCAAAAGGGAGGCCTGGTGTAAGTCTGTACAACAGGAGATACTCCTCAAACAGGTCACTGCAACTCCTTGACACATCAGTCCTCTCACAGTAACTTAATGCATTTAAAACAACAACAAATAATAATCACAGATAGAAGCCTTATCTACTCACTTCAACTAATCTTCAAATTATTTCTTCTATATTCTTCCATCTTTTTCAGCAAGAAAAGTCAATTCTAATTTTATCTAGCACTACGTCATCTTTAATGACAAGAGCAGATCTAACACCACTGCCTTTCAGTGAGCTTCAGCATGGCTTCCTATATGAGCTGCTGGCAGAAGCCCCACCACCTTTACATCTCAATTACTATTAATCTTTACTTAGTTCATAACACTAAACTGATTTCAAGTTTTAGCTCAAGACAATTTGCTTTCTTTTCCAAAGCAAATGACACTCAAAGGAACTTGATGATCTTTGAGGTCCCTTCCAATCCAACTATGAAAGTCACATTAAATGTGGTGGCAACACCAACAACCTATTTTTCAACAGACATCGATGGAGCATGTGTCCATTCCATAATAGCATTCATAAGTATGACCAACAGAGCAGAATTATTTTTGTAATCAGTAATTAGATTAAAAGTTTCCTTCTTTCATCGTAACAGCTACAGCGCAAATGGAATACAACACCGAAGAAATTAACAAAACTATAAAGTTTTAATTCAGACATAAAGACATGTAGGAGGTCAGTGAGGCTTTGGGTGGAATAGCCATCAGAGCAGAATGAAGCAACAAAGTTTTACATTCACTAATAGGAGCCAGGCTCTATAGGGTTGTAAGGTAGCCACAGGAGAGTTAAAGAATTAAGACAATGTTTTCTTGTGAGGCTCCATTAAGCAGTACAAGTAAGTCTTGTGCAAAAGGATTTTTGGTTCATCATTGCAAGTGCAGGTAATGAAGAGGACGCATGCTGGAAATGTCAGATGATCCATAAAGACCCAGTGCTGTAAGATTTATCACTCTCACACCACGCTGCTCCATCACTCTACTTTAATAATGAATGCTTTTTACATTCACATTTGTGTACAGAAACCATTTGCACAACAGAAATAACTCTGGAAGCAGACAGATTCCTCCTAATCTCTCACCCAGGCCTGTCTGGGCTGCCTGCACTAAATAGCTGCACAGTGAACAAATACATCAGTGCTAACCAATGTATCACTGCTAACATCACCTTCCCCCATACCATGCTCAACTATTATCCAACTGAATTCTGTACAAAATAAGCAGCAAAAGCACGATTTATTTTGCAATAACACAATATAGAGATAGAGCATTAACAAACATGAAGATTAATTGCTCTGAGCTAATGAATCATCCATTACTAATCCCTCATATGGAACTATGTGCAGCTAGATAAGAAACTGTAGCTGGACTTTTATTAAGATCTTTGCGGTGTCTCACAGTCATGGTCACAAATAAATGTTTATTGATTTCTACAATATGAACAAAGAGAAATACTTTAAGGAAAGTTAAAACAAGTTAAAGGTGAACTAGTCAGCATACATCCGCTTCTTTCCAGTTACCATCTCCCAGCCCATTCCCAGCCATGCAGCACTTTGTTTAAACCCCACCGTGTGGTGGGTAAATATACCAGGCTCCATCTAGGGTAAAGAGCACACTCCTAGAGACTAAAGGCACATTGGTTGCTTATATATCAAACACTTAGCATCTCAAGAACACATTCAAATAATACAGCTCCCTAGTGCATTTTTATAAGGGCATGTAGTGACAAGGGAAATAGCTTTAAACAGGAAGAGGGTAGATTTAGACTAGATATCAGGAAGAAATTCTTTACTGTGAGGGCGGTGAGACACTGGAACGGGCTTCTCAGTGAGTTTGTGGATGCCCCTTCCGGAAAGGATTCAAAACCATGCTGGGTGGCACTTAGAGCAACCTGTTCTAGAGGGAAGTGTCCTTGCCCATAGCAGGGACGTTGGAACTAGATGATCCTAAAGGTCTCTTCCAATCCAAACCACTATATGATTCTATGATCTGTGGGGAAAAGAGTGAGAACACCGACATCAGAAGACACCTACCAGTTTCCATCTTTGCTCTGGAATAGCAGTGATATCCACAGGATGACGCTCTATTACATTGAGAAAATGGGCCTCAGGGACAGCAATAGCACAAATTATATGGACCCACCTGGAAAAAGAGGTAAAGAGGAAACAAAGTACACCACTGTTTGAAATAAACACTCCAGGGAGCAGTTAACATTTCTCTGACTTCTTCACCGACAGTACCAAGGAATGTTTATGGTGGTGGTTGGCAGCCATGGCAACATTACTAACTAATTTGTTAATCACTGTTGCCAAGATAAAGGTCTCTGGAACAATAGGGCTGAATCTTCTTAGGCATTTGATCTTGAATGATACTAAATGTTTTCTGAAAAAGAAACTTTTCAGTGAGAAGGAACCAAATTTAAGAGTGGTCAGGGCCATACAACCCCGCTACTGAAAAATCTGGTCCCACCTGTAAGACAGCAGTTACCAAAGTTCACGCTGCCAATTTAGCGAGTAGCAGATACCTCCACGATGCCAAAAATTGCTGATACAATGAGCATCAAACCCAAACTCACAATACCAACTATGAGATGCAATAGGGAAGAACAAAACCATTTAAAAACAATACTTACCGCCCATCAGTGGTCATCTGAAGAGCTCCTCCCCTGAGATTACACAGGCAACATTCCTGTAGCAACAAAACTACTTCAGAGCAGGACTGAAAAGGTCTGCCAGACCTTTCAGAAACAAAAAACAGCTATGCCTGGGATGCAAAGGCAAAAAGTACCCTCCTACCACCCATCGCTGTGGAAGTATCTCATCAACTCTATCTCCAGAAGAGTAGATGCTTACCGCTGCCCATGCATTGGCTGAGCATCGTGAGCAAGACCAGCTTTCATTCACCAAATCTGGACGTATTCCATAACAGCCTGAAAGAAATGGAGTTACACACATCAGAGTTCTGTTACTATTTTTGTAGTACTAATTTGTTGCCTGTTCAGTTCACAAACATCTTTGAAATTGGGTGCAGCATTTGAATAACTACAAGGAAAGTCATTCTCAGGGAGTGGACAGAATTTGGACCAAGAGGTCTGAGAACAAAACACTAAACTAAAAAAATACATGGAGAAAACCCTGAGTATTTTGATCCTTTAAGCAAGGACTGGAATTCAAGTAAAGCTACTACTGCTGGACTTCACTTGCACATCAGAATAGTTAAGACTGCTGAATTCAGCAACATCATTTCTGCTAAAGGTTTTCTAAGCAAGAAGAAATGGTAATACCACTACAAAATTAAACACACGCATTTCATATTTAACAGCATTTAAACTACTTCTAATTTCTGGTTACACAAAATACTAGAAGCGACTGATTTTACAGGGCATCTATTACTGTACTATGTAAGCACCGGTGCACTTCTCAGCAGCACCAAAACAGGAAAGTGCCATAATGACTATAATAAATAAACTGAAGAAAGACACTAAAGCCCTTAAAACTCTGTAACAGGTGCTGAGGCTTGCTACTGAATAATGGCAAAAGACACAGATACTTTTTTTTTTGTAAAAGTATATGTATGTGATTCTACCATGCTTGCAAAGAAAGGCTATTTTGTAGCAGAAAACCAAACATATTTATAAATTGCTGGCCAGCATCCTAGTTAACACAAACCTCAACCCATGGCCTTTACCCCCTCCTAACAGAAATGAACATAAAACATCAGCCGGACAGTCTCAAATTACTGAATAAAACCTAAAAGAAGTTATTCAGAAAGCACTGAGATTGCCACAATAACTGGATTTATAAAAATTATCCACTTAACCAGACAGTTTGTCAAAAAGTCAATAATATAGATCCACAGCTGTCTCCCATATGTTAAGTCTCTCTTTATCACATGGCAAACCAAGAAAGCACATTCAACTCAATCCTGGAAAACAGGCAGGGGTGATGAATCTTAAAAAACAAACCTGGAAACTGAGCTGCAAGAGAAACTGACACCCTTAACTGAAATATTGTTGGAGCTCAACAGGGTGTAGAATAGCACTGATTTCTTGCTTCAAGTCCACAGGGAGCTGGGCTACAGGATCTGAGGGTAGAAATAGTCAGGGCTTACTGAATCCCAGATTCTCCCTTAACAATGATGGCAAAAGTACAAGAACATATGTCCTTTTCATGGATTTGCCAACACCTTAAAAGCCTAGAAACCTCTGCAAAAGCTTTCTTCTCTGTGTCCTTGCTACTGTCATAACCAATCACAGTTGGGTAAGGGCACGTCTCAATAGCAAGCAGACTGCCAGCTAGTTCTACAGCATGCTGTCAGATAAACCTAACTGCAACTGAACACTGCAATCCTGTAATAAAAGCAAATGGATTCTCTGCATCAAAGTCAAAGGCACATCACAGTTTGGTGGTACAAATAGTGACAAGGAAACAAAGTAGACACTTGAAACATCAGACTAGAGCACAGAAGTCAAACCCTATTCCCAAAGGCAAGGCACAGATAAAACAGAAAGCTCAGTTTCTCTACACGGTGTCTGAGACTGCAGATTAACATCATTTTGACCACATAACTCTCTAACTAAATCAGAGTTTGGCCACTGAAACCATTTTGATAGACTAGCCTATTGAAGACGTACAGATGCACAAGATCCAGCATCTCAGTCTGATCACCAGAGATCACAGTGGGGGAAAATAAAGAAAAGTCTCACTCTCCCTTTATCATTTGCTCTTATTAACCACAAGTGAGTGACCAGAATCACAGCTGCAGCGTGGAAACAGAAGCTGTGCTTTAGTTCTCCAGAAAAGACAGCCATGCTGAGCTGCATGGTGACCTGTGGACTATTAAACTGGAACAACAAAAGTAATTCCAACTATGCATGTCAAATAGGATTTCCCATCTGTCAGGATCAAACAGCTGAACAGTAATTTGTCACATCTAGTACAAGTGCAAATGTTAACTGGATGTCATACAATCTACAGCAAAGGTACACTCAACGAGGATTAATCAGTTCTTCTTTTAGACAGAACCCAGGGAAACAAACAGACATATGTTCCTTTTCGTAATCAAGTGCCATTTCTACAAATAGTAACTAAGACACTAATAAAAATATATCTCAGAAACTCCTCTGTACAAATCAACAGAGCCAAATCAACAGAATCAAACCAACCTTTCCTTACCTTAGGCTGCTATTTGAACAAACAAAAATAGTACAATAAGCTGTGTGATTTTGGCTTTATTGTAAAAAAATAAAAGATAACAAAATGAAGGCTTTTTTATGTGAAGCATAAAAGAATCAGCTATTTGTTTACATTTTATGAATATTTATTGCCAAGAAGGACTCAAATATACACTAACACTAGTACAAGAAAATGAAGAAGTAGAAGTGACAGGAACAGCAAGCATGTCTACAAGGATTACAAATACAGACAACACAAAAAGAAATTTGAAAGTATCCAAAACACTTTGGTGACAAAGGAAACACTCACTAGCATGAACCTGCAGGCAGCATTTGGCACAGGATATCAAGGAACTGGTTCCATCTTCTCCAATATATGAATTTGAAGGAAGGGGCTCTGTGTTTTCTCCACTTGAGGTAAAGCACATCTCTGGGATCAGAGGCTTTGTCTTCTGTCCGCACTTAGAAAGGTGGACAAAAGAGGTGGTCTCTCCTACAGAGACTGGGACAGCTTCTTTATCCACCTGTAAGGACTTGAAGAGGAAAATCACATCATTTTTCTCTAGTCACAGTTTTAACCTTAAAGTCAAAGCAATACCCTTACAAAAAGGTCATCTCCCATCATCCAGCACCTGACACCACACAGCACAGATAAGGAACCTGAAGCTGTATCTTCTCATGCACACTTCCACCCCCCACCTTTTGCTCCTCTCTCTTTCTTAGATGTCTACTGGGATTTGCAATTTATTTAAAAACTCAAACACAAAGAAGCAGTCCTTCTCCTTCAGTAAAAATCTAAGGTCCTAAACTGCAGCTGGACACACCAAGGAGAAAATGAAAATTAGTAAAACAAGACCTCCCGCCACTCCCCACGATACCCTCCATCCTTTTGGCATTCTTCTTCCCTTTCCTTTCTGCAAGATTTTCTCTAGAAGAACATTTCAAGCTTTCTGATAGCAAACCAGAGTTAAAAACAACAGATTAAAACATTCTAGTTATATCTGCTTTCCTTATAACCTTTACACAACAACATTTGGCAATTCTGAATAGATGCTTTATTCTCAATATTCAATTGCAGGCTGAGGAGGGTTTTCTCAGAAAAGGCCTCCAGCACACACACACAAACACACACAGTTTCCAAAAAATGATCCATATGCTTAGTGAACGAATCTTTATTTTGCTGCTTGTTTGCATATATTCCATAATCCAGGCACGCATCTAAAGAAGAGCACTCACAGGCCCAATATGACACTGCTTCTCTGCATGAAATAGTGTTTGCAGTGCAAAGCTCTGTATGTGCCATTTAAATAATGAAAGCTGAGAAAGCCAGAGAATCCAGAAGAGATAAATGGGGAAGGCCTGACCCACTGCCTCAGCCAAGTCCAAACACTTCTTTGAGGCACACACTTGTATGAGACTTGCCATTTCTTATGAAGATCTGCATTCTAACTTGCACAGTCACCATTCAGCACTCAGCACCAACACATCTATCGGAGCAGTTTCAGGAATTACCTGGTTGTATGGGTAAAAGAGGGTACAGACAGCACAGTATGGCTCACTCAGGGCAGCAGCTGCATTGAATTTTCTTTCAGCTGGGAAATTAGGTGCCTTATTCTTCCACTGGAGGGAAAGTAAAGATTTCAAAGCCTCTGGGTCACTCATATCTTCCTCCCCAGAAAATGGAAATGTTTCTAGAAAGAAGAAGTTCCAAAATAATGGTCAGACTTTAGTAGAGGCAAAACACAGCACAGTAGAGTTAAAGAATTAATATTTCAACAACATAAGAAGTTGAAAGGGAGCATTTAACTCATTCATGCTTCTTCACATATATCTTAAATTCTTCCTTAAATGGATATAATTTTCACTTTATGGATTGGACAGATAGAGCAGAGAGACTGATGACCTGATAAAATCATCCATGAGGAAGAAGAAACAATCAATATTTATTGCCTCCAGTACTCTCTCCACTGCTCTAGCCCTGGAAACCAACAGCATCCTTTAATGAAGCCAAATTCAAAATACATGATGCAAGTGCAAGGAAATCTCCCTTTATTTTCTACACCTAGGAGCTGTGTTCAGACAGCTGTGCATGCAGCGCATTCTGGCTTGGTTAGGCTAACTCCCAATTCCCAGCTGTCAGCAGCAAGTCCGTTTTAACCTTCACAAAGTGCATCCCATACCTGTTTCTACAAACAAATGCTGGCCACAAGATGCACACAGTTCAAATATTCATTTTACTTCTCTGCAACTACTTGACAGCTAATTCCAACAAGTGCATGTCACTGAGCCTTCCATTTACATTCATCACCACCTTTTCTTCTGCCAGAGCTCCGATAGGCACTGCTCGTGCTAATTAGTTTGCTAATTCTTTGTTTTTACAAAATCCTTGGTATTTTACAATTAAACTACCACAAAATCCATTCGTGCCAGTTTGAGGATCCAAGTTTCTTACCACTCATTACTAAGGAGTTCTGAGTCATGACAAGCATTTAAGAAATGTTCAGTGCAAGACTAAATGTAAACTGCTCAAAACATCATCAATCTGCAAAGCACCCAAAGAACGCCTTTGATCAGAAGGACTCAAAAACATCTCAGTGGAACTTTATCCTCAGAGCTCAGTGCCTGAAACCACATTCTCCGCTGCTTCACCATTATTTACTGGAAAGAAGCAGTTAACGCTCTCCTCTCCACTCCTACATCCCTTATAACATTTTCAAACTTTTACCCAACTCGAAAAGAGGAACTTTCAGGAAAACACAGCCATGTTCACAGCCAAGATTTTGAATGCTCCCTCTAACAAACCTGAAAGTTATTTGTCAGACAATGTGGGATTGTGCTCAATTAATCCTGTTCTGAGATTATGAACAGTATTATCTTTTGTCACACTTAAATGAAGATCACTTTCTAAAACATCCTCGCTTTCTTGAAACATTCTATTTCTGTGCTGGACCTCACAGATAAACAAGGATGTGCTATACAGTGGTAACACACTTAGGAGTCTACATCTTCTGTAGGGTGCAGCTGGAACTAAAAAGATCAGTGGCCCTGGGTATGCAGATTGATACTCTCAATGTCTTACTTTCAAAGCACAGCTCAACACTCACCTCTTAAAAAAATCAAGCACCTTCAAGGAATTTTTGAGACATGAGCCAAAACCAAAGCATATGCTTCTCCAAATCTTAATCAAAGCACATAAGGAGACAAGAAAGGATTTATGGTACCAGTTAAATCAATGAAAGTTGACTGGAAACCAACATCATAATCCATACTGACAGAGCAAGAGGAAAAAGAACGGTCATTACTGTTGTATGTGATCATTGCCTTTATTCATCCCAAGATTGAGTCCAGGTGAGACTCAGAATTCAGGATGCCTCCTATATCTCAAAAGCAAGTTACACACAGAGAGAAAAAGCTAACAATTTATCTCAAATGAATCTTAGAGCAGAATACTGTGTTCCTTTGATTCATATGCTTACTTTCCCTCACTGCAGCCTCCAGATCACCCTTATACATTAGCCCAGAAAAAGCAAGGAGCGCAGAGAGTTGCTGCTACTCCCTGTCAGGGAAGAGAAGAATCTGTTTGATCATATTTTGCCCAGTAGTGCTGTAAATCAGTCTCCAAGAAATGCCAGCTTTCAAAGAAAGTTGCTCCTGAGCCAGCCAGGAAAGTCCCCATACACCATCCAACAAGTGAAAACAGTGAAAAGAATCTATCTAATGAGGATCCTTCAGCACAAAAGTTTGTTGCAAGGTCTTCACCACCAAAACAAGATAACTAGTCTCAAATGTTTTTTCATTTCACTTGACATTACACATATACAGCCTATCAGATGCATCATCCCTAGAAAGGGCATGGATGGATACGTGTGCAACCCCTGCCATTGCCAAACAGAAAGCTCCTCTAAAATCAACAGGTATGCTCTCCAAAATAGGAAGTGAACAGGAAATATATTCTGTGATTCTGTGAAATATATTGTTATTTTCTTTTGAATATAAAGTTTTAATTTCCATGAAAGCTGGGTCTGGCAGCTATACCTTCACGTACCTGTCCAGTGTGAAAAAGTTTACCATGGAGTTTTCTATATTCTGAGTACTTTATAATGTAGCCAGGATCCAGAAGTGACAAATTACATGCTACAACAGAAGCAAGAGTACAAAAAGTTGGATCCCAACATTCGTATGACTCAAAAAGCCCACCAAAAAGTAAGAATTAACCTTCCCTATACACAGCAGATCTAATCTCAATCTCCGTCTCCATCTGAGATGCAGAGAACTCACTGTAATGCAGTATCAAAGAGGCAGCTTTTATGTTGTTATTTTCTGTGAACACTTATTTCCTTTTTTCCAAAATGATACTTCATTCTGTATCCAGGAAAATACATTTCTTGACAGAATAAAGGGTGGGAGGTGAGAAGGGACACCTCCCAAAGATGTATTTTGTCTCTAGCTGGAATATCAAAATGGGAACATGCTGTATTTTCTACCAGTTCAGTATAACGCAAAAACTTTCAGGCCATCCAGCTTTGTTTACTGGCTGCAGCAATTTTTCATATTAGACAAGACATACAAGTACTCTTCATGCCTTTGCACTCACCCTCATCGCTCGAGGTCTCCTGTTTAACCACTGACAATGGGGAGCGGGTTGGTGGTTTGCCTAATGGGTGACGACGACTTTTCTTTATCTCCATCTTCATTTTTGAAAAAGCAGCAGTCTGTAACAAACCAGAACAACTTAGATGGGAACCCCAAAATATCTTGGCAAGCAAAGGTGAGTTTAGAACAACAGGCAGAATTACTGTCATAAAGAGTTGTTGAATTTACAGTCAACTCTTCATCGCCTTTTTGCTGGAATCAACAGAGCTTTCCAAGCCAATTACCGTAGTAGGTAAAGCCAATGTTATTTTTTAAGATGTCAGGAAAAGGTAAACTTCATTTTCTTAAAATCAGCTCAGAATAGCTTCAAATTTGCCAGTTCCATTGGCTCATGAGCAGTCTGGTCATTCCCAAAAGCAGCTAGAAAATCTATTATGAAAATTATGCACAGGGCATATAAGACCAGAAACATTTTATTAAAACAGTACAGTGCATTTTATGACAAATGTATTTATATTGTACTGTACTCACTGTCCTATGCACCATCAAACATTGTAAATACTGCATGTATACTGATCACAGCAGCTCACAGTCCTCTTTGGTGAAAGGCACCAAAACACATTGCATGTAAGCTAATTTGTACCAGAAACAGTGCCACGTGTTTTTTGGTTGTTTCCTTTTTCACAGACATGAAGACAAGCAGCAGTGCTAAAGGATTAAAAATGAAATCCAAGTACATTTTATGCCACACTGGGGAGAATGGAGATGAAGGTATGGCAGCCCATCATAGCTACAGCACCTTAAACAATGCTTTTCCTCTCTAGTCTGCATCCATTATGTCTTAGAAACACTTATACGTAAGGAATTCTCATTGTGTGCTGTCACATCAGAAAGGCATATTTCTTCCCATTCTTCCCCTCCTCCCCTAATTTCTAATAGTGCTTTGCCATTCCCTTGGCTCTCTCAGCACCACCATGCAGGAAAGGAGAGCTTTGCTATATTCATCTGACCTGATGCTAATTCCCAAATATTTTCCTTCCTCCTCTTTTTTCAAAAAAATTTTCCAGCTAAAAAATTGTCAGGGGAAAGAGATGCCTGTAATAGATTATAGGTCATGAATTGTGTATTTCACAACACCATTCTGCTCAGGCGCAATTCAAGATTCTTGTCACTCCAAGTCTGGTTCCCAACTCATTGCTTAAAACCAGCAAATTCAGTCACTTCCTTGGTCACATATACCTGTAAATCACTTACCTCTGTAGCAATCTCTGTATTTTCTGTTTCTGCACTCTCCTCCTCTTTCACAGGGATTTCCAAAGAGGCTGTCTGCTCCCGCCAACCAGGACTCTTCTGAGTCGCAAACTGCTCAAACGCTTGCTGGCAGGACATGTGCTCTTTGTCAAACACCACTTTTTTGGTCCGTGGAACCACATAAAGCATGGGAATGATGGGACGAGGCTTAAAGTCATCTTCCTCAACTGGTGCCTCTGAGGGCTGGACAATGTTGAGGGGGGTGGTCAGCAAGTTCTTGTCTGCTGCGGATGCTGCAGGTGCTGCAGTGGGTACTGGTGGCCGCGCCGCTGCTGCCTCCTCCTCTGCCTGCTGCTGCACTGCTGGTGGCAGTGGCAGCTGTTGCTGCTGCTGCTGCTGCAGAGGCTGAGATGTTTGCAGGTGGTGCTGGTGCTGATGGAAAAGATGCTTCTTCTTCCTCTCACCTTTTACTTTTGGAGGACGAGCCTTTACTTTGCTGTCACCTGTTTTAAAAAATAGGCAACATTTAGCTCCATATGTCAAGATGTCTGGGCATTTAATTTTTTTTCCCCTTTCAAGGTGGGCTAATACACTACACTACAACATCATTCTTTCCTTCAAGCAGGCAGATTGAAGGTCCATTGAGTCTTACCACATCACTGATTTGGAGAAGCCTACTTTAGAAATAAAAGACTCGTGTCATTTTGACTTGCCTGAAGGGAAAGCATCTAGGCCCCTAGAAACTGGACAGAGTGCTAGAAAACAGAGTATATTATATTAGCCCTTTTTATTTCAGTATTTAAGTATTGGTGATCCCAAAATGAGGTATGCGAAACCTTTCATTGGGGTATAGGAAGAAATTACTTTTGGTACCATAAATAAAATAAAACCTACATTTAAAATAGTACTTATTTTTCTTTTTTCATCTTTTTTTTTCCATTTCTACTTTAATGTATGGCTTATAATATACATGTTTGTGCAGTAATAGATGTATAAGACTAGACGTTCAAGGACCGCCCAGAGCAGGATACCCAGGCCCATGACCAGAAGACTTCTGAAGGTCTCCAAGGATGAGAACCCACGTGGCTGTGAAAATAAATCCCTTTTTTCAACATATAAAAGTCTCAACAGTTTTACTTTACAGTTAAATTCTGATCCACACAGCCTAAATTCACAGAGGTAATTAAAATTCTTAGTGGCTCTTGAGTGAGTGCTTCTAGGTTAGAACTGGAGATGCCTTCAGAGCTTGCCTTCATCCCTTTACAATGATGTATGTTCCCTTTACCCAACTCCTTTCTCCCTTTACAAATAAATGTTATCAGTTCATTTAAAGGGGAACGAATACATGTTCCACAGACAGATGCAAGTGCTCAATTTGTTTCCTAAGAGATTGCAGATGTTATGACTAGACAACTCTACTGCAAAAGGTCATTTCCCCACTAATAGGATGAGGGCTGATGACAACAAAAGACAGAGAGAATCTATTCATCCTAATAACAAAGCTTTACCAATCCAAACCTACTCAGACTCCTCCATTAGGAAATAAAGCAAACCCAACCAACCAAACCTGGTAAACAGATGAGCCATCACACAATGATGTGGTATTTGCAAGAGGAAGGATTTGAAAGTGGAAGATGAATAATCCCACAGTAAAATGAAGTGCCAAATTCCTGGCAATTCGGATATTTCCCAGCATCTGGTCTGACAACTTTACTTATAATAATTTTTAATACTGAAAAAAGATAAACAAGTCCAGCCCAAATAGTTATTGTAGTACTTGTGCAGGCAGTCTCTCAGATAAACTGGTTTGTTCCATCACAGATAAAAGAAATATTGAATTTCCTTAGAGAAACAACAACATTGAATGAAAGTCAAATTGGATTTTTCCCCAGTTGTACAAAACCAGATCATATTTACTCCCTACACACTCAGCAAACTCTCTACCCAACAACAAAACAAATGCCATTCAACAGCTTTATTGACTTCTAAATGAGTAATTGCACAGCAGCTGTCATGCAGAACTTTGTTTAAAAGTTTTTGCACTAAGATGAACAAACTAATCTGCAAGTGAATCTATAAAATCAGCAGAACAACAAAGTGAAACAAAATTCAAAGGCACTATCTGGCTATCATGAATACTCCTAGAAAGTAAAGTGATCTCTTCAGACAAATCAATATGGAGAATCAGTAGGAGAGCAGTCCCTGTCAGCTGGTCTTCCACTGAAGGAGAAAACGCAAATAGCAGAGCTAATACATGTGGAAAAAAAGAGCAGAATGAGGTTTTCTCATGGTGGAAAAACTTGCTTGTCTGTAGATAGCTTGAAATAACTACCCTGAGTTCAGTGAAGCTGCAGATATCCAATATCTTTGAGGGAAAGGGTAGTTGATGGGGAAATCAAACTGCTTACTCCAGAGGTTACACCATACCTTTGTGCAATGAGACTATAAAACATTAAAATGGGAATGCCATTTAATGAAACATGCCAGAAAATAACGCACAGCTATATTACAGGTAGCATCTCACTGTTTCTTTTCAAGTGAATTTGGAAGAAAGATGTCCTCTTAAGATATATGGGTTTGTAGCCCAAATCTGCAGGACTATTAATGCATACAGCACAGCTGATAACACCTGCTCACTCACAGATTGTATTCATACTGCTTAGCACACCCAGAGATAAGCAGCACTCAAAAACTCTCCTTTTTAATTTCAAGTCCTAAGACAACCTGCTAAGAATTCTAAATGCACTAATAGCTCTGTAATAAATTATGAATATAAAGCTGAGTCATAAAAACAAAAAGAAAACACATTAATGTACCAGGGTGAGAAATCTTGGAAATTATTAATACTCAGCAAGTCCAAATAACAAACATAAAGTGTTAAGACCTACTTCTAAATCTCATTTTTCTTCCTTTTCAAGGTCATCTCTTCTGATATAAATGGGAAATCAAACCAGTTTCAAGGCAGAGCATAAGAAAAAGGAAGTGATGGAGAGCAAAAAGCTAAATTGCAAAGAGTAGAGCCATCAAAAAAATTCTCAATACAAAACTGTGAGACATCATGCAGACAGTAGGATGTAGAAAATTAGACAATTCAGTGGTATTTAATTGCTATATTGCATTTAGAAATCTGTACATTTGCTAACAGCCACATCAAATGCTATGCCCCTCAGAAATTGTGCTACAAAGTCTACTTACAGCAATGCTTTCTGCAATGGTCATGAAAATAAATTTGTCCCTCCTTTGCTGTAAGTTAAGGAGATCTTAACATAGAGCCTAAGTGAATGATTTAGAACCTATTCAACTAGAACAGAGTTTTTATTGTTTCTCTGTTACTCTAAGGATCTCAGATCTGTCCTTGTCACTTATCTCGTCTCTCAAGGGATATCAGCATTTTCAGGTCATTTATTACAAGCATTAACTATTAAACTTGCATAAGAGCTAAGAGCATACAATTTAACACACTGCTGCCACTTCCAAGCTGGAGTACCACAAATTAACAATTCACACTGTGCTACTTTTGCTGCGCGTGAGAATGATTTTCAAACTCCTTGCCTCCTAAGAAAGTACACTGTCTAGCTGAGAGACCACAGAACTTAAAGACCATCTCAATTCTTTACTCACAGCTGTCACAAATCCTTTAAAATTATCAAGATTCAACAAGCAGCGTGGCATCAGTTTTCTTCAAATGCAAAATAAACAATGGATGTATAACAGATGAAAATGAATTAACTAATGTTTATGAAATGTTTGAAAACGCCTCAACAAGAGAGTGCAACATATAAATACCAATCACTTACCCAAATGCATTAAAAATATATATATATCAAAAAAAGCCTCCAGCTACGGACAGATTTTTGGACTAAACATACACAAGACAAGATAATTCTCTGTTTCTGCAACAGGACTTCAGTCATACTTGACCCCAAGTGACAGAAGTCATGGTGTATTGTAACAAATAACCTCAAAGAATCTTAGATACATTGTTTCCTAATGGAGGACTGTAACATTAAGAAATATGTGCACCCTACAGATACTTGAATGTGTAGGGAAAGACTAACGCAGCCTTACCAAAGGTTGCACAAAAATGTGACCATGGATTCATGGAAAACAGCCCTGCCACTGCAACAGCTTCTATTTCTCTTTGCCTTCTCCCCAACAGCTTGAAACCTGTGATTTTACATGCAAGAAGTCAAAAAGGACTGGGAGATATCATGGACGGCTCTAAGGTGTAGCATGCAGCAACTGTGGATCCCATACAACCTAAGGCTGACCTTACACACAGTCTGTAAGAAGTGGGGAAAAGGGTGGAAATGGCAAGAAGATTAATTGCAGAAGGGAATAAACAAATTTTTACTTTCCAAAGGGGGACAAAAAATGTATTTATTTGCTACCTCATGCAATGCTTTAAAATATTAAATCCCTAAAATATATTTTTACAAAATTGTAATAGTTTTGGCAGAATTTCTAAGCCCTGCCAAGAAATCTATTTGGTTTGAATCCTTAAAGAGAGGGAAAAATCAATTGCTGCTGTAAATGACAGCGTGTTTCTGCTAGAGCATAGACTCAATTCTGGGTAAGTCTTCACTGAAATTTCAATAAAAATAAACAACAGTAGACAAGTTATTTACAAACATGTTTTAGAGAAATAGCATGCCCCCAGTAGTTCTTCACTGAGACAATCTGCCACCGTTGAGCAGAGCCCTTACCTTCTCCCTCAATCACTTTGCTTCTGTCTTCTTCCTCTAGGTCTGGCCCTCTTTTTAGTTCCTCTTTCACTTTCACATCTTCCAAGGCAGTTTCAATAGCCATGACATCCCCCAGAGACTTCTGATCCTCTGTTTTATGTCTTCTGGGTTGACTTCTTTTTCTGTGAGACCTAGAAGTAGAGAAGAGCAATTTGACATGAAAGAACAGCCTTCAATATAAAAAATCATCACCAACTAAAAAAACTGAATACAAAACAAAAAGATCTGCTTTGGAAAGAAAACACAAGGTGCTAACAATAGCCTCAGGGCAAAACAGATATCTGAAATGAAACAGATGAACCTTGCATAACACATTTAAGATCCATTCACAGCAGCCATTAATGGTTCTGGTTTCTTAAAGGCCTTCTTCCACCATTGATAATATAAGCTTGTGAGCTGCAGATAAAATGGTTTTCATTTTAAATCCATTTTGCTTGTACTTTGAAAAATAGATGAGAACTTGTTATAAATCTTTCTTTCTGTCTTCATACTATCATCTCTTTTCTTGCTTCCCTTTGGCAAACTGCTGGAAGTCCACGAGCATCTTCCAGCTCTGAAACACTACCCCACTGACACTTTCTCAAAACACCATCTAATGAGTTCTTATAGAATAATCAATAGACTGAGACTTTTCAGTAGTATAATTCTCAGGGTTCAAGGTCTACAAAGAAGACTAAATGAAAAAAAAAAAAAAGCATAGTAATGTGATCAGATTAATACTAACAAACTAATTGTAACAGGGCCCAATCAGTGACAATCAATGTCACTAAAACAAAAAGACTGCAATAGTCACAATGCAAAGAAAAATGCAAAGTCAGAAGGCAGGATAATATATTTTGCTTAGGAGCAATGTCAGAAGCCAGGCACCTACAGAGCCACTTGCTCTTTCCCCAGCAGGACAGGGGACAAAATACAAACTTGCATGAAAACTTGCAAGTCCAAAGTCAGTTTAATGGATGAAAGAAAGATGAAAAATAAAAAAGGTGAAGAGGAAAGCAAAGAAAAGGAAATCACTTACTGCTTCCCACTAGCAGACTGGTGCCCAGCCAGCCTCTGAATAACACCACCTTAGAGACCCAAACCATGCGTTGTTCCTCCTCCCCAGCTTTTACTGCCGAGCATGACATAACCACAGAATCACAGAATCGCAGGGACCTCCAAAGATCCTCGAGTCCAACCCCCCTGCCAAAGCAGGTTCCCTACACCAGGTAAAGGCGGCATGGAATATCCCTCTGGCCTGTGTAGGTCATTGTCCCAGTCTCAGCCTCTTGCCCACTCCGCCTGCTCACTGGCCAGAGATACAGAGCAGAAAGGCCCAGATGCTGTGCTAATGTTGCTCAGCAGCAACCAAAACATCAGTGTTACCAGCACTGTTTTAGCTACAGTTCTAAAATCACAGCCTCACATGAGCGTTAACTCCATATCAGTCAGTACACACTTTTAAAAACATCTACCAAATAGCTCCTTCAGAGTTGAGTGCAAACCTACCAAGCTTTCTTTTTCAAGAGATTAATTCAGAAACCTACAATTTTGCAGCATTCTTAGCAGAGTTGTTTTTTGTTTCTCAAAACTAGATCTTCCATACGGCTTCCTCGTTCCTAGGCCTCTGCATCTATTACCATGTAACAAACTAAAACACTCTCACGCTTCATTCTTATCCATCAGCTTAAATATCTAGAAAAGCTGAAATTCAGTTTCATATCCCCAGAAACTCAGCTGCTAATTAGATTTGGAGTGCTGCGAAGTTAAGAGTCCTTAATCAGGCAAACATAAAGAAAGAAGAAAAAATTCAACCTGAGATGAATGATTAATAGAAAAGAAAGTTGATCCATATGCACAGTAATTTATAATTGCTAGGCTCTAGCCATATGGTAGCACTCCAAGTGTAGATGTTAACTTTGCACCTGCAAGACATTCATCAGCAGGAACACACAGTTGAACCCAGAAGGATCAACTTTTCTCTTCACCGACATTCAAAGTACACACCACCTTCTATAGAGGAGGAAAGTCAAAGTAAGAGGAGAAGACAGACCTCTACGACTTTACCTTAACAGCTGGAACTTTCCATAGTTGGTAAAAAAAGCACTGGAGTAGTATCCAGCGTCAAATACTCTTTTAAGTAAATGTGTATGGTTTTATTGCCATTGTGTTGGAACACGAGGCAAAATTTGAGTTACAATCCTTTATATTCTCAGTAGATAAAAAGGATGTTTTTAAAGTGCTCTTCTGGCTCTGAAGTTGTGCAAAAATGAACAAAGAAAAAAAGAACGCATCCATTTAAAGAAACTGCTTCCAGGACTACAAGCTGAAGGCTGTGCATCTCCAGTGAAGGTATTCCATAACTGAAATAATTTGCATACCAGGAATGGGCTTTTTGTGGACCAGACTAAAACATTCTCTTGCTGAAGCCATAAAGTAAACACAGTAGAGATTTTCAAGGTATGAATGACCTTAGAATAAAAATAGCATAACTCTTTGTAGAGTTTAAAAGCTTTAAGCTTCCAGGAGAGAGAGAAAAAAGCAGCATATGTACTCTTTGAAGTACAGACCACAGAGTGACTTATTTTAAGTACGTAAAACTGTGAAGATGTTTGGGATAAGGTGAATCCCATTCTTCCAGCAAAGTCCATCCTCCTGAGAAAAGTCAGTCTTAGGTCAAATGATGTCCTTCCAAGACATAAGCACAGGAGAGAAACTTCTACTAAGCAGGATTCAACAGCTTGAAACCTGCTCCAGGATAATACTGAAAAGAATCTAGGGACAATGAATAGATTTAAAAAAGTGGCTGGATGTCTTACAGTAGCTCAGGCTGAAATAGAGGAGCTTCTTTGCTAAGCAATAGTTTTCAACAGGGAAAATAAACATTGGTATTATGTGTGCAAACTGTAAACAAATCTAAAATACCCTGAAAATCCATAGGAAGTATTCCCATAGACTCCAAATTTCCAGACGTGGAAGAAAAAGATTAAGGGGCACACTGGAGTTCAGAGAGTCATAGCCCAAAGAGGATAAATCACACCTATTGAGTCTCAGATCATTCTGCTTTTCTTGAAACTCACGACAGAAAAAAGAAATGAAAACATTTCAGGAAAATAACCTCTGAAGTGAAGCACTATTGCTGAGGTCAGTTATCTGCCAAAATAGCTACTTTATTTTTATGAGCATGTCTTTAAAGGACAACACGCTTTTCCTTTTCAGCATTCATGAAATAAGGGACCAACCCTTTCACACAGAAAAGGCAAAGCACAGATCACCATGCAAAGCCAGAGGACAGCGAAGACCAATGCTAGAGAAAGAACAAACACTCTTATTGCTGTATCCTTTTTTTTTTTTTTTTTTAATATAACATGAAACTCAAATGCATTCAATATAATTGAATTGATTAGGTCTATAATTTTAAAACTCAATGTCACTCAAAGTCCCTATCAGACATGGCCCCCAAAATCTAACAACTAATTAAAATTTTCACTTCTGGATTTCAAGGAAATTATAACTGAACGAAAATTATGAGTAGTATATTACTTTTAGATGAAGCAGTTAAATTTCCAGAAATTTCCAACTCTGACATCAGAAATTCAACAAACAGTAGATGTGAGCAGAAGTACAGAGGAAGTATTTTGGGTAACAGACAGAATAGTGTTTAAAAAAAAAGTGTAAAGGAGCATATGGAGGAGCACCCACTTTACATCTGATAATTAAAGCCTTCTGATAATTCAGTTCCCTGTGAAATAGCACTCTTCAAGGAAACATGACAAGGAATTTCTCCCACTGGAAGCTCATTCCTAACACACTCAAGTCCAATTCCACTTTCCAAGGCAGCAGCAACTTTTTAATAACTACTTACTTTGGTGACTAGTCAGCTTTATCTATAATCACTTAATCGTGGTAAAAATATCACATCACTAGCTTTGGTTTATTCAGGACATCAGCTGAGTACTCAAGAATGGAACACAAGAACAGGCAGCTGAGGTTCTCCAATAGGACAAAAGAGATCGAGATCTCAGGAATCTACACAAGCACAAGATAAAAATTATCCTGATACCCCTGTGCCTTTTCAAGGAAGCAGACATGAAACAACTAATTGAACCAGAAAAATAGTTTAGGAGTTACTGTTTTAAGAAACTTCATAGGAAAAAAACTGTAATCATTGAAGTTGAAGAGGGAAGTCACATACCGGTGTTTGTTGTCCTCTTCCTCATCTCCTATCCTATAAAGCAAGATTCCAACAGTAAAAGGTTAGCATGCCAAATTTTCAATTCAAGCATGCTGTAATACATGAAAAACATGATGAACTTGCAGAAAATTAATACAAAGATCAAAGGAAGCAGAAAAAGGCATGCATAAAATCCCTTTTGCAATTGACAGTTTTCTTCCTCTTGCTTTCTGATAAGTGAAGCTATAAATGCTTACTATAGATTTTTTTGTCTTCCAGGATAAAAGATGGGATGTGACAGGGCACAGTGTCCTACTTTCAAATAATAATAATAATAAAAATAAAGGGATTCTGTAATATCCAGAAGAAACGGAACAATGAGGGACTGCATCACCCAAGGAAAGTTACAAGAGCAAGTATAAGAAGATGAGTTTGAACTAACCCAAACTGAGAATTACAGAGTTTAAAGGCTTAGCAATTAAAATACAGTATCCAGACAACTTTTTTTGTCACTGTTTTTGTTGTGTGGGATTTTTTTTGTTTGTTTTTACCTGCGAAGCAATTTGGCCTTCAAGTCTGCCTTCGTCTCATTCCAGGCATCTAGTTCTGGGCTAGTCAGAGCTGTAGGTTTCATGTGGTCCAGGACAGCAATGTCTTTTCCTTGTTTCCATAAATCGTAACGTTCTGGCTGCAGAACCCTCACAAAGACATCCATGGAAATCTTCACCATGTCTTTGCGGCACGTACACTGTAAGAGATTTCCAGACATCAACACCATGTGAGACCGGAGGAAATTTTTCTAATCAGCTGAGTGTGCCTTTTTCCAGAGGCCAACTGATAGCAGATTTTGTAGGTTAACTAGGAACTGCATCAAAGTATAAGTGGGTATTTTGACTCAATGACACACACCGCCTCCATCTGCCTTTGGCAGAAAGGGACAGCACAAGATGCTGTACTGTCCCAAGCGTAGCTGAAGATTCAGTTCCCCAAAATTTTCTTCTCTAAGACCACCAACCAAGTTAGAACTTTCTGGTACCTGATCCACAGCGTATTACTCATCTATGGTGTTACAGTCATAAGGAAGTAATAACCGTGGTAGATACAGACCAGAGGTCTGTTTGATCTCAGACCTACACTCCCCTCTTTGCCAGTCTCGCCTCGAGTTTCTCAGGCTGAAAAGGGATTAGTAGTACAATTGCAACACTGTAAAAGCCTTTAAGGAGCAAAAGCCTAACCTAATGTCCAAGACAGTTAAACTTTGTAACTGTACATCAAGATGTGGCACATAAATTTTTCAAAGGACTGTAAATTACAAAACCAAAAATAAAGAACTTTTTGCTGCATACAATGCAAGATTGTTTGATCATAAGGACAAGGTCTGCCAGCTGTGTGTGTCCAGCTACCAAAAGTTACCTGGCTACTTAGCAAACTACAGTTTAAAAAAAAAGGGGGGGGAGGAGGGGAAGGCGGAGGAGAGAAGAGTGGTGGACATTGGGAAAAGAGTCAGAAGAAAAACGTATCGATGTCACTGGATGCAGGAAGCAGCCAAGAATTGCTTGGCAATATTGCTAGTTGGGAAGCTGAACCCACACAAAATGAAGAATAAAAATGCAGATGTGCAACATGGAAAGCAAGCAGGCAGCCACACTGCAGTGGAACTCTGGCTGCTCTCCATCACTGCCTTTCTAACTCTGCAACTAAGGAAAGCTACTTGCACACTGAGCACACTTTTACAAATGGTAAGAGAAACTGCGTTGATTTGTATGTAAGAAATAAAAAAGGCTAAAATAGCAACATTCTGCATCTAGTCTGAATACACCTAGGCCAAAGAAAATGTGCAACTTCCATTTGAACTAGCATACATATGCTCATTAAATTCAGCCACTAGAATTATACTCTTACCATTGCGTGTCTACACAGAGACTAGATACAAGCATTTTTACTTGGATATCTGTTTACTACGAAGAAGTGCAGAATAAACAAACCGAGTCCTTCATCCAAGGAGATTCTCACCCAGTACACAGTACCAGACTGAATGAGCATCTGCTCTTTACAAACTTTTAACTGCAAAGAAGGCACAGGATTGACAAGGACGCAGCAATACATCAGTGGCTGCTTGTGTGCCACAACTAATGCTTTGCTGTTGTATGGGAAGAGAGTCCTATCTCTTTTTAGTTCTGCACTAAGATTCAAAGCACTGCACTTGCACTAAACTGCCTTTCAACTTTGAGTTGAGGATGAGGTAACTATAGCGACCTCATAGGACTTTTTTTTTTCTTTAAAGCTGTTACACTTTTCCTCCACATCTTTTCAGAACTATTCTGTCCTTTTTCTTAGCAGAAAGGCATGAAATTAAACTCACTTCTCTCTCCTCTTCTTTCTCTTTACATTTCCATTAATAAGAGAGTTATGGCTGCAGCTGAGAAACCACTGAGAGAGAAGAAAGATTCCTTCTGTAGTCTCAGCTATCCCACTCCCCTCCCAGCTCCTATTTTTCATTTTGGTTGCCTTCTCCTCTGCTACGACTTGGAGAGCAGTAATAACTTGAGTGCATTGTGTAGGAAGGAGTATTTATGAGCAGACACTTTCAGAAATACTCAATTCATTTAATGAAAAACAGAGAAAAAGGCTGGAAATGCAATTTGGCCAAAGAGTGGCCGAACACAGATGGTACCCATGTTCCAAATTCCTGCCCCAGCAGAAGTTTCTCACCAGCACCTCCGTCAACGTGGGCTTAAGAGATTTGTATTGAGCACATTTTCAATCACTTTTCCTTAAGATGTTTTAAAAGCACCTCTGTAATGCTAAAAAGAGGAATACAGAAGATCGCCCCATAGCACAGAGCATCAGTGAGGTATGGCAATCGACCTCTTCTGCCTTTACTAAGTATGAAAAATGGCTCAAAAGAGGAACCAACCACTTTCTGGTTCCACCCTGGAAGCAAGATGCTGCAGCACACAAATGTCAACTCCTTCAAATCAAGTGGAGCAAATCCCGACAATCTAAACGTCTCAAGAACAGCTGCCAACACCACAGAACCACTAGTCAAGAGTCTCAGCACAATGTAAAGTATACGCAGATTATCCGGGCACCACATATAGAACTATTTGGATGCTGCTCATGGAGCTGTCCAGAGAAAAGACACTGCGGGAGCAATCTTCAGTGCACTGCAACACCAGAAGCCTGCTGTAGCCAAATTCCTTTCTTCATACACAAGTCTAAGATGATGTATGTTTACATTTCAATTTTTGCTTTTACAGTAGCAAGCATGTATAATTTAGAAAGCCTCTTTCTTCTGGGGCTTCTTTTGGGCCGTACAGTTATATTTCTTCAGCTGCTGCACTTCTGTTTGTAGGGCTTCATATTCCCAGAATGGTCAGCGTATTTTTTCATACCCTTCCATCAGACACAACGAGATCCTGCTAATACAGCAGACACTTGCAATAATACTGCAAAAAGGAATGTGTACACATATGTTAGAGGTGGGAGGGGGAGACGATAGAGAAGGGGACTATGGGGAGAGAGGAGCAAGAAGATTGCTTTGCCATTAATTACCTGCTCTATTCTAACAGAACAAGGCAAAAAGAGCAAGCTTATGTTTCCCTGTTAGTGATAGCCCTTTCCACATACTGTCCTTCTTTTCTTATATATGCAGTTATATTTCTTTCAAATATTCTGATTACGCAATTGTGGCCAAAACTATGCATGTTTCCTAAGATGTATAATACCCACAACTCCTCTCTACACTCTTTCTCTCCCTATCTGGCTTCCTGCAGAATATATCTTCCCTATTCCATTTTTCACCCTCAAATTCTAGCATCTAGATATCCAGTATTATTAATGTTTGTAGAAGCAACAACATAAAATGAACATAATCACACTTACACTACTGCTAAGGAGAGAAAAGAAATCTCATTTACTTATTGTGAGCAAAAAACTGAACCACAAAGCCCTGATTCAGATACTCCAGAAATTCCTACCAAGGCTTTCCTTCCTTCCTTTGTCAGTAGAATACAACTAGTTTTAGACCTGTGAAAGATTTAGGAGTGATATGGTCACCCAAAGCACAGACCATGACTAAATGGCAACATGAAGGATAGGCTTGTCCTGCCCAGCTGTCAGGTGAGAAATTTAAGGAACTCGGAGATCTAATCAAACATCTCTGCATTTCTCCTCTGCCTTTCTCCACCTGGCAGCCAGATTGCCATGGCTGTCAGAGGCTGTCAGAGTCAAACAACAGAGTACACTTACACACCTACACAGGTTTATGTTTAGTTCTTTGTCTTCAGTTGCAGGGTATCCAAGACCCAAGAGAACAACAAGACCAGAGGAGCTGCCATATTCCCCACATCTACAGGAACCTATTTGTCCCATCTTCTGAAGACTTTTGCTAGCCCCAGCTCTCTTTTCCTGTAAGCTAACGACTTTGCTGCCCATATGGGATAAGAACATACAAAGGCAACTTGCAACTAAGAAGAGCATACAAAAATATTCTCAGGAAATGGAAGTGTGAAACTCTTTTCAAAAGCAGAAAAATAACATTCTTCCCCTATTTATTATTTTATCATCTGTTATTCAAAGTTGGAGACTGGTGATATAACTGACCTCTCCAAGAACTTTGTGACATTGAACATAATTCACAGTGATGGTACTAAATTTGTGACTATGGAATGCAAAACCATGATCTTATCTAGTTTTAGGCTTTTTTTCCTTTTTTTTTTTTTTTTTTTTTTAATAGAAACACTTATAAATCCCTTAACACTTATAAGGTAACAGTCAAATAAAAAGACTGTCTCCTTAAAGTAATAAAATGAAGCTATCTATGGAAAAATGTAACTTCATTCAACCTCAGTCTTCAACTGCATTTCTGTAAAGGATTCCTTCCCTCACTTCCCAGTTATTAACACTAAATTGAACCCTACCTGTTCCACGACATACAAAGAGTTAATGTAAAATAACACTCTTCTCCTTACACAGAAAGTCACAAAAACGATCTAATTAAATCAGCACATCTGGTTCACAAGGGAAAAAAGAAACACCTCACATTTGAATTAATTTAGTTGCAAGCACGGCTGTTTAAGATCCAACTAGCCTCCCACTTTGCCTAAATGGAAATTTAAGCAGAAGAAAACCCAATGCATCCAAAGTTCCTTCAGCTATTATGTCATCGTTAAATATTTTGGTCTTGCATTTAAGTTATAGTATCTGTTTCTCCATAACAATGAAGTCTAAAAGCAAGTTACTGGGAAAAAGAAAAAAAAAAAGATGGTTATATCCAAAAGGTAGCTACAGAAATACATATAGAGAACACTTCTGAACTTCTCTCTATAAATTGCCAGGACAAGATATAAAGCTGCAGCTTTTGGGAAGAACACAAAGTCCTCCCAGTATAATACTCTAAAACAGCTATCCAATTCACTATCCAATTACAGATGTGTTTCCTGATGTCTAATTAATGCTCACCCAGTACAACACAAAAACTAGCCTGGGCTCCAGTTCACTGTACTTCCATTCAATCCAAACTCACATTTCCCCTCAAACCTTGTACAGCAATGCTCTCATATATACCCATGTTTTCAGAAGTGACGGAACACATAATTGCAGGTTAGTAACTGAAGGACGGGTGACAGGCATTCCATGAGTCAGTAAGGAGTTAAACTTTGAGAAGAAGTAGAAAAACTTAAAATTCACAGTTTGTGTGCTTAATAGTTGGAAGTTAAGAACTTGTGGGAAGGAAGACAAGCCCTG